CAGCCTGGTGTGCGGCTTGCTACTGGTCATTGCCCTGGGCTGCACCTGCAAGCTCTATGCCATTCGCACCCAGGAGTACAGGTCAGTGAGGGTGCAGCCAGCTGCAGGGGCGGGGGGCTGAGGGGAAGACCCTGAGGGTGCCCACACTGGGGACAGGCTCTGGTGACCTGCTTCTGGGTTGGCTCCTGGAGTTGTCCAGCTTGGGGATGGGGGTGCTCCTCTGAGGAAAGGACAGGTCTAGATCCTGAAGGCAGTCTCCAAGAAGGAGGGGAACCTCGCATGGCTCTTGGGAAAGCCAGGGCATACATAGCTCAGTGGTCTTGGCCTGGGTGTGGAGGGAAAAGACGTGTCCAGGCTAGGACAGGCTGCTCTGGCTGGCACCACCTGTGACTGAGCTGCCCTCATTCCTTCCAGCATCTTCGCGCCCCTGTCCCGGATGGAGGCTGAGATTGTGCAGCAGCAGGCCCCACCCTCCTATGGGCAGCTCATTGCCCAGGGTGCCATCCCACCAGTAGAGGACTTCCCTACGGAGAACCCTAATGATGTAAGTGACCTCCCGGCCCAGTACTTCCTACTTCCCAGCCTCCGTGGCCCTGCGCCTGTACCATTCTTTGAGGCTCCTGGCCCTCCCCACCTCCCTGACTCTGATGTCTGCCTCCTCTCCTTGCAGAACTCAGTGCTGGGCAACCTGCGTTCTCTGCTACAGATCTTGCGCCAGGATATGACTCCAGGAGGTGCCTCAGGTGCCCGCCGCCGCCAGAGGGGCCGCTCTATGCGCCGCCTGGTGCGCCGTCTCCGCCGCTGGGGCCTGCTTCCTCGAACCAACCCCCCAGCCCGGAACCCAGAGACCAGATCCCAGGTCACACCCTCTGCTGCTCCCCTTGAGTCCCTAGATGGCAACACAGGTCCGGCCCGTGAGGGCGGGGCGGAAGGTGGGCAGGATGGGGAACAGGCACCCCCACTGCCCGTCAAGGCTCCCCTCCCATCTACCAGCACATCTCCAGCCCTCCCTACCATCTCTGAGGCCCCAGGGTCACCGCCCTCCATGTCCCCAGAGTCATCACTGCTGTCTGGAGTGGTGCAGGCCCTGCGAGGCCGCCTTCTGCCCAGCCTTCGGCCCCCAGGACCAACCCGGACCCCACCTGAACCCCACACAACAGTCCTGTCCCCAGAGGATGAGGACGATGTGCTTCTGGTGCCACTGGCTGAGCCAGGGGTCTGGGTAGTCGAAGCAGAGGATGAGCCACTGCTTGCCTAAGGTGACCTAGCTCCCTTGGGGGCTTTGGTCGCAGTGACAACCCTTTAGAGGGCAACTCAGCTTCCCTTTAGCTACTTCCCTCCCTGACCCTCTGTCTGAGGGGACTTGGCAGGCCTCCTGTGACCCTGTGTAGCTGCTGTAAAATTAGGTATCCCTCAGGAAGGGAGAGGGCTCACACAGAGCTCCCTCCGCACATGCCCAGAGACCACCGTTTCTCTACCACCACTGTCTTCCCACACCACCACTCAGGTGGCTGTTTTTAAAAAGTAAATTTCTTAAAGGGTCACAGGCCCGGACACTCCATCCTTACCAAACCCCTACCCCAAAGTGGCCTTTCAGCACCAGAATGTCAATTGGCTGGAGATCTCCAGCACCCAAGGGAAGGATTTGGGCAGGGCCTGAGATTTTGCCGACTGTGATCCTTCCTGCAGGGCCTGGCTCATAAAAAGAGCACAAAAACTGCTTTTGTCCCATAGCTAGGTCATTGCCCAGCAAGTCAAGGTTGAAAATAAAAGAACCAGAAATTTAAGATTTTTGTAAATGAGCTATAACCTGAGCCCTGTCTCTACCCATCTCAGCTTACGCTCCCCTCGCCTTGCCCCTCCCTGTGAAGGTCTCTGCTCTGCCCTCGGAACGCTGCCCTCTTCCTACTTCTTCTAACCACATACCCTTGGTTTTTACACCACTCTAGGAACCCTAAGGACTGACCCTCTCCACCACCTCCACCTATTACCTGGGGCTCAGCCCTACAGTGATTGACACCAGGGGTCAGCACCAAGCCTCTTTACTCACCACCAGGCCGGAAGTCTAGTGAGCCAGCTGGGCGCTGTAGCAGGAATGTTCCCATTCATGGAGTACTCCCAGAGCACAGATCATAGAAGCAGAATGTCCCTAGGGGAACGCAGGAGCCTTAACTCCTGGCCACCAAGCAGTTACAGTCTGTCCTGTGCAAGATAGGGGAACTCTTGGCCAGGATGCCTCAAAGCAGGCAAAAATAAGTTGAGAGAAAAAAAATCATAAACGTCTGGGGTGTGAAGATGCTGGCATCACTTTGACCAAATCCAAAAAGGTCTGCCTAGAAGAGGGCCCAAACTAGACTCTGAAGAATGTGGTCCATAGGTGGAATAGACTTGTGGATTCTAGGAACAGTGAGAATCCACAGGATAAGAAAACTAAGCAGATGTGAGGGCTAGGGCTGCAGGCTGGACCCCAGGCCTCCTAAGAAAAGAGGCAGGAGTGTAAGCAGTGGCCAGAGCTGAAGAGCTAGAGTGGGTGATGGAGGAGGGAATAACCTGGAGAAATGTTGGAGCCCAGCCTCTGGTAGGTGAGGTGACAGAAGCCGTCCCAGAGTTTGAAATGAAAACTGGGACAAGGGATACAGAAGGCGTCTATAGGGGTGGCATGGAGCCGAGGCATTCCCGAACAGAAGCAGACTCTCCTCAGGCTCGCCCTCACCCTTCCTGGCCGGCCTGGTCTAGCCCCAGCCTCTGGCGGAAGGGCCCTGTTAATTACAGCCTGTCTGTGTCTGAGCCCACGTCCGCACACCCAGCACCAACCGCATGTTTCCTCCTCTCAGTGAGCAAGAGCCTAGGGAAGTGGCAGAGAGTGAATATGGTATAGTCCTGGATTGAGGGATCTTGGGAAAGACCCAGATTCCTTTGACTCCAGACCCTCTCCAGAGATTGGGGAAGGGACTTCAGAGTTCCCCATCCTTGCATACCCTTCTCCCTTTGGGTCTTCCTTCCCTAGTGCTAACAGTCCCTGGGCTCCCCTAGTGAAAGGCCCAGGGAAGCAGGGAATGCTGATTTTCCTTCCACACCTCCCCATCTCCTGGTCTGCACCCTCTCTCTTGCTCCTCTCCTTCAGCTGATAGCCTCATCACTTGTCCTGCTCCAGATCTTTGACCTCCTGGTGTTATTTGTAATTTGTGGACAAAGACATGTTAAAAGAATGCTCCTCAGGGTGGAATGCTTCAGGAAGCCAGAGGGAAGACCTGAGGGTAGAGTTCACTGGGAAGGGCTGTGTGTCCTGAGCCTGAAAGAAGTTTCTCTAGGTGCTGGGTGTATGCTCTAGAAGGTGCAAAGGGTAATGCTACTTTTGTCAGCCACAGAGAAGCCCCAGGTTGGTGGGAAGAGGGGACTTAGCCTTGTACAGGCAACATGGGAAACTCAGAAGGTCCCACCCAGGAGAGGGTGGGGAACTGGGGAGCAGTTTATTTGCACCAAGCCCTATGGAAAAAGAAACAAAGCCACCTCACATCCTATCAGGACAGAGACAACACTATCCAAAGTGCCCAGTATTGGGGCATGGGACTCCTGTCAAGGCTCTCAGGTGCAGAGGAGGGAGGTGTCTCAGCATGAGATGGAGATCAGGCTGGGAATCTGAGATAACAGCACATACCAGCATTGAGTCCTTAAGAATCTGGGACTGAACCAAGCTCCAGGCCCTGCTGGGAGGGGAGAGGGACCCCTAGCCGCACTGCCTGAGGTTGTGGGAGCATCAGATAGTTGGGCAACCTGCTGAGTGCCAGATCCTTTTTCATGTGTAGTGAGCCCTCAAAACAAGGCTGTGCCATGGGCATCATAATCCCAATTCACAGGTTTGGAAGCAGTTTCAGAGGAATTAGGAGACTAGCCCAGTCTCTACACAGAGGCAGATTTAAACCTGGATTGGTTCAGTTCCAAATTTCACCCTTGCCCCACTATTCCACAGACTCTCCCGTGGAGGAGAGCCAACATTTCTCAGGTTATTCCCTCCTCCACTTCTTACTAGTGGGATAAGAGAGATAGTGGTTCAAGGTGAAACCCAGCTGGCTCCTGTGACCCAAAGCACAGTCAATGGTCATGGTCAATAATCCTTCCTGGGGTCTACAGCCCCCGTCTCACTCTTATATGGTATCATAGAAATTAATCCAACCACCTAAGTGGGTTTTCCAGATATATGAAGCTCACCCCTTTACAATATAAAACTTTTTTTTTTAATTTTTTTTTTTCGTTTATTTATTTTTGGGACAGAGAGAGACAGAGCATGAACGGGCGAGGGGCAGAGAGAGAGGGAGACACAGAATCGGAAACAGGCTCCAGGCTCTGAGCCATCAGCCCAGAGCCAGACGCGGGGCTCGAACTCACGGACCGCAAGATCGTGACCTGGCTGAAGTCGGACGCTTAACCGACTGCGCCACCCAGGCGCCCCTACAACATAAAACTTTTAAAACTCATTTTGGAAGGAAATCATTCTAAACAGTCTTCAGCACATCTGCAATAGAACACAAATTTTTCCAGATGGCTGAGGATCATTCATAGAAACCAATGGCTTCTCTATAACAATGTTTTCAGAAGCTGTAACAGTGTCAGGGAAGCTGTTTGCCTTTTTGCCAAAATGCTCTTAGATGACTTTTTAAATGCTTATGACACCTTTAAAGTGTTTTGTGGTGTTGTTGCCCTTGCTACTGGGTGATCAGGGGTCACTTGCTACTCTAATGTTCTGTAATTTCCTGTAATGAGTATAGGAACACATAGACACATACTGAAATTGTAAATAAGGACAAGGGAAGCTGTGATTGAAGCCTGGAGAGTCTATCCAATGAGTAAAGTATGTAAGTACTGTAGTTGCTCAGGGGTCCCTTCTGCTCCCCCTAGACCCTAAACGTTGCCCCGTAGTTCATCTCCGGTCAGTGAAGTGTTACTGCACATTAGTCCATGATTACTATTTGTCTCTTCCGTTGGAGGAGTCCCCTGAAGATTACAATACAGACTGTTCCAAATAATAGAAGACAGTTGGAATATTTAAGACAAAGAAGGCAGCAAGGCAGATGAAAAACAGTCTTTGGCGTTGGAAGAACCAGGGTGGGAATCCTGGTGTTCCCATTTTCCAGCTGATGATTGATTTGGGGACAGGCTACCCCCCTACCACTCTAAGCCTTCAGGTCATGAGAATGACAGGAGATAATGCAGGAAGCTGCTTCACACAGCACCTGGCAAACATGGGGTGAGGAGGAGCCAGAAAATCAGAAGGTATGTTTGGGTGCTTGCAGCGTCGGGAAGAAAGATAAGAGCCGATCTGAAGGGAAAGGGCCTTTCCACACGAAAAAGGATCTGGCACTCAGACAGGGAAAAGGAAGCTGGCAGAAAAGGAGCAGTAAAGGAGAAGTGCCATGCTGGCTTCCCACAAAGACGCAGACATCATCATGTAGCCCAGGAGGCCTGGTGGTGCCCTGGAGAGTGTGGAGAGGGGGCTGGCACTTGGGACTGGGAACTTCTAGAGGGCTAAGCTCAACCTGTGTACTAACACCAGGTTGGTGGGCCTGGCAGGGAGGGAGAGAAGGGGAGCCCACATGGTTCGCATCCACCTAAACGTAGTGACAGAATGAAGCTGCCCAAACAAGGCAGCCATCTCCCCTTCCTTAGAGCCCCCATCTGCCTAGGGGCCCAGCTGGGAAGTGGCTACTCTGGTGTGTCTTAACCCAGAAGGGGTGGTATGGGAAAGGAGAGGGTGATGGGGAAGCTTGGTGCCAGGGTGACCGGTGTCTTTTGGTTTCTGCCTCCAGGCCCTCCATTTAGCCACTGAGCAGCCACTCTGAGCTGGACACTGGGCTGGGAGGCTGAGAGTACACAAATGACGCACAGTCCTGGTTCCTGGACTCCCAGTCCCTGGGCCCTTGCCTCTGGCCATCCTCCACTTCCTTACCCACTGACCCCTCAGCCCACTTCTCTGAACGCCTGTCTCTTTAGCTCCTCTGACTCCAGTCTGTTCAGGTCTTAGCCAGACTCCGCAGTGTGTGTGCTCCCAGAGGGAAGCCACACAAAGGAAGGGGGGGGTGGGCAGAAAGGAGGGAATCCCGCTGACATCACTGCTCATTAGCATGTGTGACCTCATCAGGGGGCGGGACAACTTCCCCAGGTGTTGGGGGGGGGAATGGGGGTGGTATTTAAGGGAAAAGCTGACAGTGCTGCTGAGTGAGGGAGCGGGGACTGCAAGCGGCTGGGCTGCACACACACACGGATGCACACGGACCTCGACACGGACATGGACACAGACACAGAAACCACAGCACTCTGCCCCTCCGGCAGCCACCAGGCCTCCCCCCCCCGGGACGCCCATACCAGGTGAGGGCTGAGCTGGGCAGGTTTCCAGCAGAAACCACCGGGGGTGGGAGCTGAAGCCCTGGTGGGGAGGTCAGAACTGGCGGCCGACGGAGCTTGAACCCAAACAGCAACTCGGGAAGTGGAGAAGCCTCCCGCTCACACCAGGACTGGGGCTGGGCTGGGCTGGGGGCTGCGGAGTGCTGCCTAAACACCCCCACCCCCCCCCCATCACTCCAGGGCTTCGCTGGGGAAACTGGTGCTTAGCCCCTAGGTCAGCCTCATTCCCATGAGGCTGGGATGGGCAGGAGGGATGGGGGAAAGGAAAGGGGCAGCCCACAAGCCTGGGAATCACAGGCTGGGGGCTACCCTGGGGACCTGTTGTAAGGGTTTCACTGGCTCGAGGAGGCCCTGGCTGCCAGCCAAGTATTGATCCTGGGCTATTTCCAGCCTCTCTCCATCCCCCTTTGTTGTGTCTGTCGTTCTTCCTCCAGTTACCCTGACCCATGCATTGTCACTCTCCCTCTCGCTCATGCTCCCGCTCTCTCGCTCTCTCCCTCCCTCCCTCTACCTCACCATGAACACAAGATTCTCTGGAACTCACGGGAAGGTCAGAGATGCAGAAGGGTTCTCACACACAGCCATGCACCAGGAGTGCTCAGAGGGCCATTTGAAGAAGCGAAGAGGCGGCAATTCTCACACACCGTGGAGGGGGACCCAATGCACACATCCTAAAGAGCAAAGGCCCTTCCCTGGGCATAGCCTCCCCACAAAGTTTTTTACTCTACCATACCCATCCCCCAGAACCTGGGCAGCAGCTTCAGCTTCTCATCCCCTGTGCCCCTCCCCAGTGTGGGGACAACCAGTGCGGAAGCAGTGGAAGGAAGGGCCTCTTGGTGGAAACAGGGGCAGCCCTCAGGGCCAGAGGCCTAGTCTGGGGGTGTGCCTGTGTGTCAGTGTGAAGAGTGAGTGGGTGTGCGAGCCTGCGCACAGGTGCCTCCCCTGCATGGGGCATGTTTTAAACAGGTTGTGGCTGGAACCACACTGGCTAAGCCTTCAGCTCAGCTCCTTAGAGCCCCACCAGTTCAGGCTTCTGAGGGAATTCAGTGTAAGAAGTCAGACCAAAGATTCTCAGCTCCTTCTGGGGCATGGTCATCACCTGGGCCTCTGAAGCCAGAGCAGCCAGGATTGAGCCCTCTGCAGATGGCCAGGCATACCTTCACTCATAGCTTCTTTCTCTTTGCCTACCCCCCACCTCAGAAACAGATGCCACACTGTTGAAGAAGCCAGAGAAGCTGTTGGCAGGGTTGGACCGGGGTGGGCCACCACCAGCCCCAGGGGCACCCAGACGAAGAGGCAGTATGCCTGTTCCTTACAAGCACCAGCTGCGGCGTGCCCAAGCTATAGATGAACTTGACTGGCCACCTCAAGCCTCATCCTCTGGCTCCTCTGACTCCTTGGGCTCGGGGGAGGCAGCCCCCACCGAACAAGATGGCATCTTCAAGGTCATGCTGGTAGGGGAGAGCGGCGTGGGCAAGAGCACCCTAGCAGGCACTTTCGGCGGTCTCCAGGGAGATAGTGCTCATGAGCCAGAGAACCCAGGTATTTGGAGGGGAAACCCTGAAAGGGTCAAAGGCACCTGCGGACCCCTAGTCAGGGATGCAAGAGGCATGAGCAGCCCCCAGAGGCCAAAACCTAAGAGAAGTTACTGCAATGCTTTCTGTGGCAACCTCCCTGGAGGGGGTCCCTGGTGCTGGGATTGAGGCGTCCCTGGTTACCAGGTCTCATGAGTGTTGGGGAGCCTCCTGATGGGCTCTATTCCCTGTCCTTATTTCCCAACAGAGGATACCTATGAAAGACGCATCATGGTGGATAAGGAGGAAGTGACTCTAATTGTTTATGACATCTGGGAACAGGTAAGAACTAAGACAGGGCTGTAAGCAGGCAATGAAACCTAGGAGAGCTGGGGAGGGGCAAAGTCTGGCTGAAGGCGGGTGGCTCTGTAGGCCCTGGTTTTAATATGTACTGGACATATGACCTTTCATATGTGTCATCCAGAGAGCAAAGGCCCACATCAATTGTGCATACCATGGCACTGAGAGCCGCTGTCTTTCCAGGATCTTCTGACCCTGAGGAAAGTTAGGATCTGAATTTGACAAACCCTGAAGCTGCAAGCCAGGCTACACACCCTGAAATTGACCCCATCCATACGTGTTTCGGCCTGGAAGAGTCTTACCTGATAGGACAAGAGCTCAGGGCTCTGGAATATCAGGGAAGGGAAATAAGTGAGGATTTATGAATATTTGGACAAAAATGGTTACCACATAGAAATGAGAGGCCAGATTACATACAGCTGAAGAGCATTCATTTTTAAGTTAAGAGCTTAAGCATATGAAAGTAGGATGGGCTACCCTAGCCTAGGACCCTATCTCCCCAATTCTTCCATGCGGGGCTCACATTACAAACTACTTTCTCCTCCACAACACACTCTAGGGATGGAGATTATGCCATTAACTAGCTCTGCTGTCCTAAGCAGGTGGCTTCTCCCTCACATCCAGATTCCTCATCCTTGAGATGTAGGTGGGGAACAGGTTCTCCCATGCCTCCAGCCCTGACATCCCACCACTCTCTGCCCACATGCAGGGGGACGCAGGGGGCTGGCTGCGGGACCACTGCCTTCAGACCGGGGATGCCTTTCTCATCGTCTTCTCAGTCACCGACCGACGAAGCTTCTCCAAAGTTCCAGAGACCCTACTTCGGCTCCGGGCTGAGAGGCCCCACCACGACCTCCCTATCATCCTTGTTGGAAACAAGAGCGACCTAGCCCGCTCTCGGGAGGTCTCACTGGAGGGTGAGTATCCTGGACCTAATTAACACTTGCAATCTCAGGGGAGATTCCAAGTGACCTCTTCACAAGGACCTTCTACCCTTCCAGGACAGGCTAAGGGCAGACTCCCAATACCCATGTCTAGCGCCGGAGAACCCCTTCTCTTCACTCCTCACCTCTTCGCCAAGGCCCCTTTATCTCCTTCCCTCGGCACCACCAAGACCCTCCACCTGACCCCTGCCTGTTCTCAGTTGCAAGAGATTCACCTGCCAGGACCCCTTTGTACTGCACAGCGGGCATCTCCCCAGGCCCCCCCGTGCCGGGCCCCGCCGGCCGGCCCCCCCCCCCCCCCCCCGGGCCCAGTGTAGCCCGCGGGCTCCTCAACCTGTCCCTTCCTGCAGAGGGCCGCCACCTGGCAGGGACACTGAGCTGCAAGCACATCGAGACGTCGGCGGCGCTGCACCACAACACGCGGGAGCTCTTCGAGGGCGCGGTGCGCCAGATCCGGCTGCGGCGGGGCCGGAGCCGTGCCGGGGGCCCGCGGCCCGAGTGGGGCAGCCCCGACGGCCCCGCGCCGCCCGCGCGCCGCGAGAGCCTCACCAAGAAGGCCAAGCGCTTCCTTGCCAACCTGGTGCCGCGCAACGCCAAGTTCTTCAAGCAGCGCTCCAGGTCGTGTCACGACCTCTCCGTGCTCTGAGCCGCGGTCGTCATGGCCACCGCGGTCGCCATGGTCACCGCGCCCTCAGCTCACCCAGTCACCCCGTCCCGCCCCCGTACGGCTTCCTTTGTGAAGACCGTCTAGTAAACCAAAAAGTCCGAGGGCGCGCGGGTGTGGCCGCGGGGGGCGGGCCCCCTGCCCCCAGCCCCTGGTGGGCGTCGCCCCCAGCCCTGCCACCACGCGTGCCCTGGCTACCTCCCCGCCCAAGAGCGCCTAGAAGGCGAGGACGCAGACCTGCGGGCGGGCGCGCTGCGGTCGGCGGGCGAGGCGGCTTCTGGCGGGCAGGAGGGGATATAGTTCTGTGAGCTACTTTGACTTTTATTAAGTCGCGCTTGACCACCTCTCCTGTAAAGAGACCCTAAAAGTGAGAACTGGAAAGGTGCTTGGTAGACCTCTTTACAGTTCTCTGCGCGAACACGCCTCATCTTTAAGACATCCTTAAAGGTAAAAACACTGGAGATGCTTCTTTGAGACTTTTCCCAAAACGTGCTGGCTCTTATCTGCTGCACTTGTCCACTTTGCCTTTAAGAAGTTCTTAAAGGCAAAGGCCTGGAAGTGCCATTTTTCAGAATCGATTCTGTGATTTACCACTACATCACGGCACTTCCCTTTTAAGGTTATTAAAGGTAAGGTTTGGACAGACTCTTGCCTTCAGATGCCATTGTTAAGAGCTGAGCAGGCAGCACCCTGGGCCCAGGAGGCCCCAGCAAAAGAGCCACCCTTCCCTTTTCAATAAAGAACTTTTCTACTACATTTGCTCATTTTGACTCTGTTCTCAAAAGCCCTGTAGAAGGGATAGATGTAGATGGAAACTGTTAGAGACAAAACTTAGGCCCAGAGGAGCAAAGAACCTAAACCTACCTCTACAGAGGCTTCAGAACTGACTCAGTCTCATGGGGCGCCTGGGTGGCGCAGTCGGTTAAGCGTCCGACTTCAGCCAGGTCACGATCTCGCGGTCCGTGAGTTCGAGCCCCGCGTCAGGCTCTGGGCTGATGGCTCAGAGCCTGGAGCCTGTTTCCGATTCTGTGTCTCCCTCTCTCTCTGCCCCTCCCCCGTTCATGCTCTGTCTCTGTCCCAAAAATAAATAAACGTTGAAAAAAAAATTAAAAAAAAAAAAAAAGAACTGACTCAGTCTTGGTTGTAGTCCGTAACAAGGAGCCACAGGCCCTTAGAGATCGCTGGGTCCAACTTGTCGCTTTGTAGATGAGCAGACAACCCTGGAGAGGAGCAAGGAAATACTAGAAGTAATTTAGTGACTTAATGACACAATGGGACCAGGTCCATAGACTCTAGACCTCATCTCCTTACACGACCTTATTCTGCAGAGTAAGCTGGAGGCTACATTTAGCACCTAGAGCTATACAGAGCTTTGTCCTGGGCTGGTTTAAGGTGGGGCCCACATCCATCAGAGAGGCCCATCAGCTGGGGCATGATGGGGACGGCCTGCACCTCCCCTGGCAGGCCTCCACCCTCCCAACTGTCACCTGCAAAGCCCGTGTGAGAACTGAAGCTGTCAGTGTCTCCCCCTGGGGACGCCCACGTCTGCTGCTGAGCCACGAGTTTGAACAGAGAGCAGAGGCAGCACTCTCCCCTCACCCCAGACATGCAGTATAGCTCCCTGAGTACCTGAGGGCCAGGCCTCCACTCCACCCCACTCAGGTTCCCAGAGCTTGATGGAGGAGGAATGAGATGTCTCCCGAGTCCTTGTAGCTGGTGGGAAAGAGCCAAGGGGACCAGTTCAGCATCAGTGGTTATGAGATGGTAATATGAATAATGACATTATCCTAAGGACTTTATTAATTTTTCTCTGTTAATTCTTTAAGGACCATATAAGGTGTTACTACTTCTTATACTGTAGAAGAAACAGTTTAAGTAACTTGCCTGAGGTCAGTAAGCAACAGAGCAGGGATCCCACTCATGTCTGCTTGATACTTAATTTTATCCAGCTTTGCATCGGAGGTTCCCGCTCCAGTAAGGATGAGGGGAAGAAGAAGGTCACTAGAAGAAATGTAAGCGACACAATGGCCGGGGCCATGGGCAGTGGCTGTGGTGAAAAGGCCAGAGAAATTACGTGGCTATGGGGTAATAGGCCAGGAAACTCTAGGGACCGTGAACAGAGGCACTTCAAAATGTAAAATGTGTAAAAACACACTGGGCCCATTAAAAGACAGATGGCTGGGTTGAAACCTCAGGGACATTAAGGGGAGGGGGTAAGAGATGAGCACAGAGTAGAAGGTTTGGAACCCTACTTTTAAGTACCTTAAATGGCAGGCAAAGGAGTTTGTGCCCAAGCCTGCAGGCAGTGAGTCACCACAGGTCTTTGGGTATGGAAGTGACATGAGCAGGATGGTCCTTGGGCAGAGGAGGCTGGGAGAGGTGCATGAACTGGGGCAGCAAAGATAAGGCCTGAGAAGCTGAGTTTAGCGGGCAATTAACTTTACATATTGGAAGGTAATGAAGTACTGACCATAGGGAGAAGGCAGTGCGAAAGGAGAGGCACTACGGGTGTGAGTCAGGACTGCGATGACTGGGTACAGGCGGGAGTCTTAGGTGGTGGGTAAGGAACTGGGAGTTAGAGGGCAGAGGAGGACATGGGTAAATGGATCCATTTTGGAGACTCTTGAGTTTGCCATGCTAGAATATCCATATGGGGTTTCGGCAGCTCTCCAAAGATCTGGGTCTGAAATTCAGAACAAGTTAGGGCAAGAGATACAGAAATGAGAATAATTCCCATAAAGATGGTAGTAGAGGGGTGCCTGGGTGGCTCGGTCGGTTAAGTGTCCCACTTCCTTCCACTCAGGTCATGATCCTGTGGTTCACTGGTTCCAGCCCTGCGTCGGGCTCTGTGCTGACAGCTCACAGCCTGGAACCTGCTTCAGATTCTGTGTCTTCCTCTGTCTCTCTCTGCCCTTCCCCTGCTCATGCTCTCTCAAAAATAATTAAAATAAAAACATTATTTAAAAATTTTTTTGGGGCGCCTGGGTGGCGCAGTCGGTTAAGCATCCGACTTCAGCCAGGTCACGATCTCGCGGTCCATGAGTTCGAGCCCCGCGTCGGGCTCTGGGCTGATGGCTCAGAGCCTGGAGCCTGTTTCCAATTCTGTGTCTCCCTCTCTCTCTGCCCCTCGCCTGTTCATGCTCTGTCTCTCTCTGTCCCAAAAATAAATAAACGTTGAAAAAAAAAAAAAGATTTATAAAAAAAAAATTTTTTTTTTAATGTTTTATTTAAAAAAAGATGGCAGCAGAGGAGCCAGAGGAAAGGATGAGCAGCAGTCACACGGCACCCCGTGCTCAGTAGAGTGTGTTGCTATTGCGGCCTTGAAAATCTTTGAGCAAGGAGCCCTGCATTTTAATTTTGCCCCAGACCCCACAAATCATGCTAAGGGAGGTACAAAGGAGAGGATACAATACTGGCTGGGATCCTTGCCTCAAATCACACATGGGCTTTAGGGGCTGTGATTCTTGTGAAGTGGGACAATTCATGTGCCCATGCAGTCATGCACTTGAGAATAGTGTGCATAGATTTCATAGATTGCCAAAGGGGTCTGTGACCCAACAAATGACAAACCAGGATGTTACTGATTGCTGCCGGGGAGGGCAGTTGGGTGGGGGCAAGACAGGTGTAGGAAGTGTACTTTTCATCGTGTGCCCTTTTTGTTCCTTTTGAATGTTTAACTATAGTGTATACCACCTGTTCAAAAACTAAATAAAATAATGTAAAACAAAACACAGCCTTGATGTTCTAGAGAAAGAAGGACCAAAGCAGACGAAGAAGGTGGAGATGTAGCCACCACAGAGGCAGGCCGTGGAAGGACTAGAATTGTGCAGGTAGTGGCCAGTGCCAAGGAAGGAGGCCTTTTTTTTTTTTTTTTTTTAAAGTAAACTCTATGCCTAGCGCCGGGGGGTCAGACTCACAACCCTGAGAGCAACAGTAGCATACTTTACCAACTGAGCCAGCCAGGCACCCCAAGAGGAGATTTTTGTTTTTTTTTAAACATTTCTTTATTTTTGAGAGACAGAGCAAGACAGAGTGTGAGCAGGGAAGAGGCAGAGGAGGGGGGGTACACAGAACCTGAAGCAGGCTCCAGGCTCTAAGCTGTCAGCACAGAGCCTGAGCAGGGTTCGAACTCACTCACGAGACTGATAGATCATGACCCAAGTCAAAGTCAGACACTTAACCCACTGAACCACCCAGGTGCCCTAGGAGGAGGGCTTTTAAAGGAAGACTACCACCAATGGTCAAATGTGGCCAAAGGGGCAGATGGGGAAAAAGGTCCAGTGCCTTTCACGTGGCTGAAGCTGAAAATATGCATATTGAAGATGATGGTGGTGGCGGCAGGGCCTCCCCCAGGAGGGGGACTGCACGCGCCACAGGCTTCCCTCCCCCTAACTCAGCCAGTCCCATCAGCCCAACCCATCTGTGCGTTCCCTCCAGACGCCTACAGGGACGAGCTCAGAACAGACGGAAGCTGAAGCCACGCTCCCGTCAGACTTGGAAAGTGGGGTCTTCTGCGAGAGCCAGGCCATTCTTCTACCTCCCTCTGATCAAGGCATAGTGCCAGGCTGCTGGTCTGGGCCGCTGTGAGAGACCAGCAAAGGACCCTGGGGCCTGAGCTGCTTGTGCCAGGTAAGGTCTTCTCTGCCCTCATGCTCCTCTTAACCACTGCAATCTTGTCTCTGCTCCTTTACCAGCTGGCCCCTGCGACCCCCGCGATTTCTGGCCCACAAGGCCTCCTCACTGGCTGAGAGCATGAGCTGTGTGTGCTCTGCTCTGAGAGGCCAGAGGTGAGGCCTGCCCTGCATCTTGGAAAGCATCTCTCTGCTCTGGGCCTCTGCTCAGAGTTGGGCCTTTGTGCCCTGCTGCATCTAACCCTCTCTAGAGAGACTGGGCAGGGTCTCTCCTCTCCTAAACTGTTTTTTAATGTTTTATTTATTTTTGAGACAGAGACATAGCATGAGCAGGGGAGGGGCAGAGAGAGAAGGAGACACAGAATCTGAAGCAGGCTCTAGGTTCCAAGCTGTGAACACAGAGCCTGACATGGGGTTGAACCCACGAACCACGAGATCATGACCTAAGTAGGATGCTTAACTGACCAAGCCACCCAGGCACCCCTTTCGTCTTCTAAAAGGCTGCCAGTCGTGGAAGAGCATTTCACAAGTCTTCTGGGTTAAACCCTCATTCCCAGAAAGTCCACCCATACATATACATCTTTTTATTCATCTAGCATAATTCTATCCACATCAGTCTAAGTCAATTTTTCCTAGACTTTCATCCACAAATACTTGTTGTTCCTCTCAAGTACTGCCATAGGCCAGTCACTGTGCTGGACCTTATGGGAAAAACAAATACAGGTGACACTATCCCTGCCCTAGGGAGCTTACAAATGAGCTGGAGAGATGGGACAAGGTGGTAATAGCACTACCAGGGCCAACAACAGCAAACTGTACCACATTCTGACTATCTGAGGGCTATGTCCTGAGCTCTAAGAATTCTGAATGGAAGAAACAGAATTTAAAGACAGATTTTAGGAGCTGGGCCTTAAAGGATATATGTAAGCTGTGGATAGATGGGGGAAAGAAGAAAAAACTCCCTGTGGTGAAACTACATGAGCAAATGCACAGGAGACACAGACATGGTGGGCAGCCCACCATGTGAGGTAAATACCCTTCCTGTAAGAAGGCAGCCAAATTTGGGTGGATGGTACAGCCAAGTTGTCAAGGGACCCCAAAACCAATAAGCAGCATTTTGCTGCTTAGTACTTTATCATCTTGGTGGCTCTCTGATGGATATGCTCAAGGCCCCTTTTAATCTTTTTTTTTTTTTTTTTTTTAGGTAATCTCTACCTCTACTCTAATGTGGGGCTAGAACTCATAACCCCGAGATTAAGGGTCACACACTCCACCAGCCCAACCCATCTTTGGGCCAGCCAGCTGCCCCTCATCTGTATGTAGCTTGATGCCATGCTCCATGGCTTGGTCACCTTGCAAACTCAAGATGCAAATACAGACTCAATGTGGGCCTTGCAAACATTTTAATTAGCACTTAGTCCCATGATTTTCTGGATGGAGGACACCACTCTCAACGTCTTTGCCTTTCTGAATCTCAGCTCTCCCAACTGTAAAATGAAGATAACATTACCTACCTTGTAGGATAGTCATAAGGACTAAATACAAATCCTAGTATCTTTGTAATTTGTCAAACATTATCCAAATGAGCTGTGGAAGTAATGCTTTTTACAACCTGTGTCCAGGTCCCTTATTCAGGCATCCAGACAGCTTGCTAACCTCTCAAGCAGAGCAGCACCCTGGAGATACAAATTTAAGGTGTGCCTGGCTGGCTTGGTCAGTGGAACATACGACTCTTGATCTTGAGGTTGTGGGTTTGAGTCCCACCCTGGGTGTAGAGATTGCTTAAAAAGATAAATAAAAAAGTATTTAAGTTGCAGTCCACAAAGTCCAACTTGCCTCCCATAGGACTCACAGGTAACCCCCTGTGAGTTGTGTTGTTTTGAAGAGGATGGGGAAGGAGGGGGGTGATTGGCAACCAAAGCCTCAGTGATGGTATTATACTGCCTAGTGTTCCATTGTTTGTTCAGGTTATAATGTCTTTAGGCAGAGTACCTGTGCTGATTTAAAACATTTATCTGAAAGGAAATTGTCAGAGTTCTGGAGACCAGTGATGGCAGGTGCTACAGGAGCACCTGCGGAAGGTCAGGAGGGAGGCTAAGCAAAGGGCTGTAGCAGACACCACTAGGATTTTCCCTGGCCAGACAAAGCAAAGGGCACTAGGTACCCTGAAGGTACCTGAGGGGGTGGGGAGGGAGAGAATCCCATTGATTTTTCAAAGCCGTCTCGCTCTGATTTATAGTTTGAGGCATAAAAAGAGATTGAGCCAGTGGGACTGGTGTTTCTGAAAACTAAGCTGCTTGTGACCCAGGACCTAGGGAGCTTGGGACTTTAGTCCAGGAACAATTGAGACTTACTTCCACCATTGCCTCACCTTCACTTCTCTCCCTGCATATATTAAGCATTCTCTGAGGTTGGAAGATGAGGTCAGGTAGAGTCAAGTGTGTAGGCATCCAGAGGAATGGGGATAGTGATGGCAGTAGCTATGACAAGTAGTAATGACAAGATATCAAGTTCTAAGCCCTCAACACAATCATTTCATTGCATCCTCACAATGTCCCTGAGACAGGTACTATTGTCATCATTTCCCTTTTACAGAAGGGGAGTCGAGGTTAGAGAAGTGATGAACATCCAAGTTTATTCAGCTGGTTTGTGACAGAAGAGCTATCTGAACCATGTGGTATTGCCCCAGAGGGTGACCATTCTGCTACAGGATGGAGGTCTCCTGACTTGGTTGGGCCCAACCCAGTTCAGAAAAGGCTAATTTTCAGCACCACCCATTCTAAACAAGTAGGCTTCATGATGCCTGAAAGCTGACTGAAGCTCCCTTCCTTTCTGGGACATTGGCTAGAGTTTGACAAGTCTCTGATTTCCAAGGTCATTGCTTCTCCTTTCTGCAATCTAGCACTGACTGGCTCCTTTCCAGTCTTCAGGGCCCTCATCCATCTACCATTGCCCTAAAAAATAACTGCTTAATGGCTCTCCAGTAACTGCAGCCAACTCCTTAAGGGGTCTTGAGAGGAGATCATCTGGGAAAGCTAACAGAACTCATCCAACTTTTAAAAGTGAGCTATGATCAGCTCTTTCCTTGCCTCCACCTTCCCGTATGATCTAAACTGGTTGGTCTGCTTCACCTCTCAGAGCTCTCTCAACCAAGAGCACACTGAGCACATCAGTTCTGGATATAAATGTAACAGTTGGGAGAGAAGAGAAGGAATGTTTGAAGCCAGAAGGTTCAGACACAGTTCTGAGACCAGAATTTCTTTCCTGGATCCAGCTCATGACTATTGACTTCACCTGGTTGCCATGGAAACATCAGTCTGTGTTGGATGGGAAGCAGCATTTTTGACAGAAAGCATCACAGGCTACCATGGTAACACCAAAAAGAGTAAAGCTGCTTTCTCTCTTGGAGGGTGAGGAATGAATGGAAGAGGAGGCCAGGATGGACATTGGAAAGCTTAGCTCTGACTTGAACAGAGGGGAAATTAATTCAAGACATTTAATATGTGCGAAGGAAGGCAATAGTGAAAAAGACATGTCGATGCCTTGTCTCATTGGGCTATCACCATCTACTAGTAGAGTTTACACAGAACTGTAAATAAAGACAGAATGAGACTTCTAATGGGACAAAGAATACTGAAAAGGGAAACCAACTAGCAAAGCTTCAGAGTCTTAATGGACAGGATTGTAACCAGCAGGAGTGGAGCAAAAAGAGCACAAGATGAGCAGACGTGGAAGAGGAAAAGTTCAGGACATACTGAGAACTCTGGGTACAGAGATAGGAAAAGTGACTCCAAGTGGCTTCCACAAGAGGCAGGCTGAGATTAGGATCCAGGAATGTGAAGCTAGACTGCCTGGATTGGAATCCCAAACTCACTTGTGTAATCGCAGGGCAGGTTACTTACCCTTTGGGTAGCCTCTTCTTTGTTCACAAAGTTGATAAAAGAGTCTGCCTCAGAGGTCACTGTGAGGTTGAAGCAACTCTATACATACAAAGTGATTAGAACAATGCCTAACCCACAACGACGGGACAACCTTGCACCGATGTTAACAGTCATTATACCCCCTCCTACTTTCCGAAGCCAGGACAGCCTTTTCTCCCTGTCTAAATATTACTTCCGGATTCTCACCAGACCCCTTCCTTAACAGAGAAAGGAGAGGCTGCGGTTGACCATCTCCCTTCAAGGTGTAAACTTATTTTCCTTCTGCATAAGCACCAGGACTAAAGTTTCAAAGGGTAAACACCTGCTTCCTCTGGTAGCTCACATCGGGGGCTGTTGGAACCTAAGAAGGAAGTAGGCAGAAACCCAATTTCAAGAACACAGAAGTTTAGAGAACAGGGAGGAAAACATCACTGCCTTAGAAAAGGCAGAAGCATGGGCTAGAAGCCAAATGTCAGGTGAACATCTGTTTAGAACTGAGGACAGTTGGGAAATTCTATGCTAGTAGAGGATCCGGGTCAGTCTCTCCTCTACCTTCGCCCCAGGTGCCATGCCCAGACAAGAGAGGTTGAAGGTTTCTTTTACCTTAAGCTGGGCACAGAGGCTGTTTGCTGCCTCCTCCTCTCTACTCCAACCACCTCCAATGCAGGCATGAGTAACAAGAAGGCACTGAGTCACATGCAGTGACTCCAGCTGTCACCCACTAGATGCTGTCACCTTATATGGATTAAGACTAGAGTAGCTGTCTTAGATGTTTCCTCACTTCCACCACGCTCTCTCTCCCAACAAGAGGCTGTATGAGGAACTAAGAAGGGTGGCAGGAACCAAAGTGCAGAAAGACCAAAGGAGGCAAGGATGGGAATATAAGGAAACCAAGCAGAGATAGACACCCATCTGAGGAGGGCAGGGAGGCAAAGCCTGTGGGTATTTATGGTTTGGAAGAGTTCAAAACTGCCATGAGGCGGCCCAGTCCATAGCCTCAGGATGACTAACAAAAATGGTCCACACTGTACTTTTCAGGATGCATTAGCAGCCAAATCAATAACTACAGGGGGACTGGGCCACAGCCAGCTGCTACCTAAAAACAATGTATCCTCTGTCCTATCCCCCGGGGCCAAGAGAGCAAATTAGAACAGGAAAGGGTGGAGGTGGTGGCAAAGGCAACCGTAGCAGCAAATGAGGCTGCACCAGCCTATACAGCCATACCACCCTGAACACACCCCATCTTGGCTGATCTCAGCAGGTAAGCAGGGTCGGTCCTGGTCAGTACTTGGGATAGGAGGAATCAAGACCTAGTCCTGGGTCCCAGTGGCCTTTTATACCACAAGCAGGCACCAAGTACTTAATACTTCAGTGTGAAAAGCAACCCCAGAAACTAATTATCACCAAAAACTGTTCACCCTGGTTAGAAGTCTGAGAGCTGACAAATTAAAACCTAACAGCAATTATCCATATTTTTAGCATGACAATACAGTCTTAACATTCTGTTGCCATAGAGACCAGAAGAGAATGGGGGAGTCCCACAGAGCTCTGCCCCTGAACCTCAGACCTTCTTCTCTAGGCTGGTCCCTAACTGGTGAGCCAGGTTCTGGCAGGCCCCTTGTCACGTATATTACAAAGCCGGCAGAGAATATAAATGTGCATCCCCTTCCTCAGGGCGATTCCTGGGATACTCAGCTTTCTGGAATTCACTGGTCCTAGTCTGTGTTATCTCAAGCAGAGCCATATATGGAAACCAAGACTTGAGGGGACTGACCAAGGAATAGCAGATTTAAGGCCTGGGAGCCCTGATGTAAGACCCCCAAGCCCCTTTGGATACCAGACTGGGATTTCCATTACAAAAAGGGCCAAAAGCGGGCACAGAGGCTAATGGTAAAACTGGTGAGCTTACGCTTCCCTGGTACTTAAGCTGCTCAAGATCTCAAACACCTCTAGCCACTTGACGAGCAGAATGTGCTACTGTCACACTGCCATCTGGTGGAAAGACAAGATCTGTCCCTTAGACGCAGAGACAGCCTTGGGAAGTGTGTCCAGTGGGCAAGGTAGGTTTGGAAATAGTTAAGATGAAGACAAACGGAGGAGACAATGGGGCTAAAGGTGTAATGCAGATACAGACTGGGAACTCCATCCAGGCGTGTGCCTTTTGTCCATTTTAATTGCTAAAGAACGTTAGATAAAACAAAATTAAAGGGAAAAAACAGAAAGGCATTACAAATGTTTTATATCCTAGAACCATTCACGGTTTTGGCTCATGAAAAGTTACTAACATCAGACAGATACACCAACTGACTGAGACCACACACACATGGGCAGCAGCCGCCACAACAGTGGAGCCTGCCTTTTATACAAAGTTTATACGTATGTGTATATGTATACGTGTACACATATACACACACACACACACGCACATACACACAATTTTATGTACACAGACACAAGGGTATAAAATCCAGTGAGAAGGGCTCACATGTGCCCAGGTAGGGGACAGGAGCAGCTTTAACAGCTGGGGTTGAGCCCATGGTAGAGGCACATGGGAAGTGGTAGAGAATAGCAGCCTCCTCTCCATCCTCCCACCCTGGGCCACAGGAAAGACCTGGGAGGAAGGAAAACTATACAGAGGAAGATGGAACCTAGTAGAGAAGTACCCCACCTTTCACTCAACTCCTGAATGCCCCTAAGACATCCAAAATGCCTGGCAGGACAGATTACTCCCATACTTCCCAGTAAGAGGCTGAGCCCACAGTAGCAGTTCTGGCCTCAAGCTGAGACCCAAGGAAGGCTTCACAATGTTCATGTCCATGCCATCTTCCAGGGCCTGTGCAGCAGCAAGCCAGCACTTTCAAGGTTCACCTTCCAAACTGCAAAGTCCTCTTGGACTAGAGGTCTTCAAGGGTTTTCCTCAACAGATTGTAGGGTAAAAGTACAGGAAAAGGAGAGAGGTTAGTTCCCTCAGTTAATGCCCTACGGCCTTCCCAACGGGGGAGGAATCGAGGAATCACTAAGAGCTGGTCGGAGAGAGCAATGAAGGTCATCCCAGAAGATGACACACACGGAAAAACAGGTGTTCAATATAGGTGCAGATTCTGTCCTCTTCGACTACTGGCTTTGCTCAGCAGAGTCCATTCCTGATGGGGCCCTGGGCAGGAGCTCTTCTTGGAGTCTAAAGGTGGCCCCAATTCCCACAGAGTCAACATCCACGCCCTCAGGATAGCTTGGTCCACAAAATGGAGAGAAGGGGCCATGGAAGGGTAGACGTGGAAAAGGGAGTGGCACCCAGAGGCACAGGGAGGCAGTGTACTGAGCCACTGATTTACCTATGGCAAGGAGAAGAGGTAAATGGGAAACCAAAGGAAAGAAAATAACCAAAGACATGGCACTTGCCACCATGAATACCAGACCCTGAGACTCACATGGTCTGAGGGGTAAAGAGGCTGGAAAGCTGGAAGCACTGGGAGGCGACTGCTTGGGAGGCGAGGTTCAGGGCTGGACTCAGAGCTGCAAAAAGAGAGGCACAATGAGTTGGTGAGCACATAGCATTCCTTCTTTCCAGGCCCCAACCCAATTCCTCCCTTTCCCAAGTTTAAGTCTACCAGTCAGAGCCGCAGGGTTCAGGGCCCCCAAGGGAACTGTCCCATTCAGTTGCAAGGCAGCAGCAGCCTGGGCGGCAGCAGCAGCAGCAGCTGTGGTAGTAGGCAGCTGCATTCCAGAGCCTAAAAGGGAAAGAAAAGGTGGGGTTAAGTCCCAACCTCCGATCTAAAATTCAACCCCGTGTTCTTCACTCTGCAGAGAAACTCTCTCCACCTTCTGCCAATTTGGCCATGAGCTGCAAACGTCCACCTGCTGATCCCAGATCCAGCTCCTGGTCCCCATCCGGAAAAGTGATGTCTGTGCCACCATCCAGTCGCTCGGTCACATGACCAACTCTCATAGGTCGACCAGCAAGCTCAAAGCCATTCAGCTGTTCCAGGGCTCGCCGAGCACACTCGGAGTCTGAGAACTACAAGAAACCCAGGCCGTATCAGTCACTTCCCGGACACAGACATGCTCTCAAAACCCCACTACTATTCCCTAGTCTCGCTATCCCAGGAAAACTGCATGCTCACCGTGGCACAAACTTTTCTGTCACAGGGAATGTGACCTAAGGTCCCCATCCTCCCAAAATGGGGTAAAAAGGACCTTTTCCAACTGACTAAATGGCAATCACTTCAATCTTCCAGCTACACTAAAAACCTAACGATACAAAAAAAAAAAAAAAAAAAATCCATTACCCATAGAGTGCCTACCCTGACAGACTGTTTCACAAATGACCAGATAAAATGGAAGTAAGACAGGCTAAGGGGCCCAAACTCCTGGATTTTTATTTTATCTCAGCCCTTTGGACTAGTCAGTTTCAATTCTCACTCAAGAAAAAGGAATCTGGAACTCCAGAGTTCAGTCGCAGGGGGGAGCGCACCCTGGCGTGGAGAGCAAGACTGCACCCCACCCCTACGCCTACACCAGTGCTGTCGATCAGAGGGCTCCACTCCCCAGTCCCTTTCATCAGCGTCACCAGAGCTGCCTAGTGTAGAAAAGATTCCAGTCTGCTATTTAAGTGTCATGGGTGTTGATCAAAAAGGCAGCAGCTCAAGGGCAAAAAGGCCTCACCAACACTTTTCTGCAACTGAGTCACACAAGGTGTTAGAAGAGGTACTTGCCACCATGAATACCAGAGCTGGCTTTGTTTATTCTGGTGGCACCTGCCCTAGGGCCTGGCACGTTGGTACTGACAATTCCTAGGCAGGTGGTGTAGGTGGCTTGCCTTTACTGGATACTTCTGAGGTGAGCAATACCTCACCTGTGCAGAACACAACCTAACTCTCCTCTGCCCTGCAGGCAACTGTGGGGGGTGTATGCTTCCTGGACTAAACCCAGGAAATATCAGCTTCTGTGAGACTCTGTGGCTGGCAGCCAGTCTTCAGCCTGGAGTCACACAGGGCTGGAAGAACCAGTTATGGGAACTGGAAGTAATTTTGTGACAGTGTCAGGAAAAGGTAAGACACAGCCCCACTATTCTCCCTATAGCCGTCTTTAAACATAAAGGTATTTCTCAGTGGAGAAACTCCTTCAAATGGGATAGTGCCAGAAAAAAATATAAATCTCTATTCCCACTATCATGAAAACACCAATTCCATGAAGCATGTCTACAAAAGCCCACATCTAACCTCCCTCATGCCCCCAACCTTTTAGCTGCTGCCTGAAATCATTACTATTACCCAAAAAGCAAGTTGCAGCACCAGGGAAGCTGGTTGAACTCCTGGACACCCCCATGCCAGGGCCACTGACAGAGTGTGGGAGCAAAGCCAAGATCTCAAGCAATGCACTCATCTCAAGGGGAGGAAGGCTAGTCCAAGCTTCAGGCACCAGGGCTTATGAGTCATTTAGACAGTTCCTAAAGGAGGAGGAGGAGGCTGAGCTGCAGAATCAGACAAGTGGACAAACCCACGCTGAAATTCAAAACTTCAAGACCAGAAACTTACCGTAATGAAACCATAACCTTTAGAACGGCCTGTATCTGAATCCTTCATCAGGACAATATTATCAATCTGTAGAAGAGGCGGAAATTATTAACAATCTTTGGGCTAACCTGAGCTTTCCTATCTGACTGATCACACTACCTCTAACCTTCCAGCCAATCGATTTCAACTCTCCCAAATCTTTTCTTTTTTTGAAGCTTATTTATTTTGAGAGAGAGTGCATGCATACACTCAAGTGGGGAAAAGGTAGAGAAAGAGGGGGAGAGAATCCCAAGCAGGTTCACTGATAGCACAGAGCCCAATGACACAGGGCTCAATCTCATGAACTGTGAGTTCATGATCTGAGCAGAGATCAAGAGTCAGACTCTTAACCGACTGAGCCACGCAGGGGCCCCCAAATTTTTAAAGAAGAGACAAATGCCATCTCTTTCCAAACCACCTCTCCTGACCAACCTTAATCTGCACCCCATTATTTGATTTCACGGTGCCTGACTGACCTGTTTACTGAGCACTATGAAGACAAAGATGGAGCCTAACTTTCCCAGTGTGGACCTACATGCCCGTTCGATGGATGCAGTGCCTTAATCGTGGTCAGAATAAAGAGGTACACTCACCCTCCCCACTTTTCCCAATTCCCTTCAGAGGTTTCCATCACTTTCTACTCACTTTGCCAAAGGGCTCAAAGATACCCCGGAGCATGTCCTCAGTGATATTGAAGTGCAGGGAGCCCACATAGAGGCGCATTGGTCCACCACTACCCTTCTGCAGGTTGTTGGCCATGGCTGCCAGTCGGTTTTTCTCAGCCTAGGCAAGGAGGAAATGACGGGTCACATCCCATACCTCCTACCTTCAACCCCATCTTCTTGTGTCAGGTTTTCAGCCTGCTCACCTGTGAGGCCTGGACAATGATAGGCACTCCGAGCAGCCGCTGCCCAGTCAGCCCAATGGCCAGTGGCACAGACTGGATCTCACAGAATTCTACGTAGGCGATGCCCTTAGAACGACGGGAATTCCGATCTGAGATGATCCGGACGTCACGAACCTATCCGGGGCAAGAAGGAAATCCTGAGTTGGGCATAAGGGAGGATGGACAGAAAATAGGCCACATGGATGAAAACTAAGGGAGGGAAGGTTACCTTGCCGACAGCAGAGAAAAAGTCCTCCAGGTCTCGAGGCCGAATGCGGGCAGCTAACTGCATACAGAAAACCGTGCGGGCATCACGCTCCTCGGGACTCAGATTATCAATTGGTTCCCTAAAGAACAAGTACAATTTGTTGAGACACCTGCTCCGATACACAGTCCTTATTTTCTTTTTTTTTTTTTTTTTTCCAATGTTTATTTATTTTTGGGACAGAGAAAGACAGAGCATGAACGGGGGAGGGGCAGAGAGAGAGGGAGACACAGAATCGGAAACAGGCTCCAGGCTCTGAGCCATCAGCCCAGAGCCCGACGCGGGGCTCGAACTCACGGACCGCGAGATCGTGACCTGGCTGAAGTCGGACGCTTAACCGACTGCGCCACCCAGGCGCCCCTCACAGTCCTTATTTTCTAGCTACACTCAAGCACTACAAGTTCCTGTATTCCAGCTCAAACGGCTTTTTATTCACACCTCACAATCCCTGGGAAAGCTCATTATCCACTCACCTGACCGGGCTCTTCTCTCTGAAATGAGGACTCTTACTGTGCGCATACCTACGCCTATGGAACAGAGAACAACAAACGGAAAATCGTGTCATTCAATGTCATTCGCGCTAGTCCAATGCTCAGTCTTCTAACACGAGAAAACCAGATTCCAGCACTTCACCTCACGGGAATTCTCAACACCACCCCTCCAATAACAAGGTCTCCTGCCCATCACATCAGGTTGTAAGCATCCCCAGGTAGGAAGCACAGCACACTGGTTTTACCCAGACTACAACACAAAGGCCATCAGATTGGTGAGAGGTGTTACCCAGTGGCAAGTGGCGGGCTCCTGTAACGCACACGATCCTCACGCCGCCGGTCCCGACTGCGTGACTCACTACTGTGCCGACGGTCCCAGCTCCGGCTGCGGTGGCGACGCTGCCGCTCTCGACTTCGGCTCCGAGTGCTTCTCCGCCTGTGCCGGTCCCGATCTCGACTGCGACTATAGGTGGAAGGCACTACTGAGTTTGTTGAAGGACAAACCAACCTCTTCTCGCCTTTGATGGAGAGCTTTCCCTGGTATCTTTCCACTTATAGCAATCCTCAAAATCCAAAAGTCCCCACAATTACTTACCTGCGCTTTCTATCCCTGCTTTTACTAGGGCTCCGACTCCTCTTTTTCCTGGGAAAGAGGGGATAACTTATTGAGAACGTTTTATTCTCTCCCCCCAAGGACAAGAAACAAAAGAAAGGCCAGGGTGGAACGGCAGTAAAAGACCAAAGTGCCCAAGATGACCTGGCAGGAGTTCACAGTAACCACGCAACACGAGCTTGCACACAGCCCTGGATGTTGTCAGGCATTTGTGGAGTGGCTGTTTCCCCCCCAAAGCCAGGCCAAAGCTGCTGTCTCCAAATCAGAGGTCCTCTTGCTGTTTTATTCAATTAAAATATACTGATGCTAGAACAAATCCACAAATCTAGGCAGGAATGTGAAGACTAGAAGAATATCAAACCAAGTCACCGTTATTCTCAGGACCCAGTGGAGCCATCACTAAAAGTCAGCAGTCTTCTAAGCAACCATCTCCCTGTTCTGGCTGTTTCTCTCATGGACATGGTTGCTTCCTTTCCCCCAGCTGCCAGCCCATTTCTCCACACCACACTCACTTGCTTGCCTCCCCACTGGCACTGCTCCCACTGGTACCACTGCCACTGTTGCCGTTGCTGCTGGCGTTGGTGTTGCTGGGGCCATCTTTTTGAACTTCTTTCCTTTGCTGATCATCCTAAAAGGTTAGCCAGGAAAAACGTCACAAGGCACAAGGTGGCAACACACACATTCCACTGGGCAACAAAAGAACAAAAGTGGACAGAGATTTGATTATGAAATCAAAGCTCACAATTATCTAGTCAGTTTCTGGGCACCCGATCTCCTAACAAAAGGAATAAAATAGGAAGAGAGAAAATCAAAAAGAGATCAGAGTGACATATTTTGTCAAAACTTCAGCTACCCAACATTGGTTCCACTGACATCTATTTCCCAGGAGAGTGAGAAATTATTTAGGTTTGAGATACACTGACTTTCTAGTGTGTCACTGAGAGCTTTGAGCAAAGTACTAATTACTAGCACATTATGCCCTGCCCAAACCTCTCCCCGACACCCCCAGCTTTGGGAGCCTCTCTGCCAGCATGTCTTTGAATATGAGAGCTGGAGAGTGGGGTGCTCTAAAAGACTATGACTTTTACGAATAGCCACAACACATAATAAACAAGCAGGAAAAAAGGATTCACAAAATGCTGAAACTGATGACCTAGAACTGCTGCTTCTTACTAACCCAATTCTAGGAGTGAAGTGGGGAGTATTACCTCTTCTTTTTTATAGGGAGCCTCCAGCATGGCTTCAATCACTATATCAAAGTCATCGGACGCCATCGTAGCAGATCTGAGGAGAAGACATGGATACGTGAGAAACTCGTATTTTTCCTTCCCTTCTGGCACCCCACATTCCCTTCCTTCTCCAAGAAACAGACTTCAGAATATACAGTGCTGTTTCTTGAATTCCAAAGGGATCTTCCTGGCTGTTGCTTACTCTAGGTTTATTTTTGTACATTATAAACCTTAACTAGTTCAGCTCTGTGGCTCAGAAAAACTCAAGGGTTGAGAAGGAAACTGAACAGGTAGGAAGAAACTACAATACGGACCCTGTCCTGTGAAAACAAAGTGTTGGTATTCAAAATTACTATTCATTTACAGTAGATGCTAGGCCTCCATTCTACAGTTCCAAAATTCTGTATATATAACTGGCTTACACGTCAATCACAGAAACAGACACACGTTTCCAATAAAAAGGTAAAAGTGAAAGAGTACAAATCAGGAACAAGACAAAACAACACCAGAATGCAGATCTGCCCTAAGCTCTTCTCCCCACATACCCCACTCAAACATCAATAATTAGGCAACTCATCAGTAAGTATCTCGCGTACAACAGCAACTAGAATTCAGGTAACTCAGAAAGATTATGATTAAGACAGGCTTAACCAATTCCACTTTGAAGCCTGTCTAGGTAGGCAGGGTAAGACTTCCTGCCTCCCCCGAGCTTTCACACACCTAGCAATCATCCTTCCCAAGACTGTCCACCACAGGCCTGTCAAATTAAAAAACAAACAAACAAAAACCAGAAGATATCAAATAAAATCAGTAGGCTAAATTATTAAAAAATATATATACTGGTCTGGAATTATCAATATATAGAACATGGATGAATTCCAAAATAATTATGCTGAGTGAAAGAAATAAGACCAGATAAAGTATATACCATATGCTTCCATTTATATAAAATTCTAGGAAATGCAAACTAACTTGTACTGGCAGAAAGCAGATGAGTGGTTGCCTAGGGATGGATGAGGTGGGCAGGGGAAAGGAAGAAAGAATTATAAAAGGGCAGAGGAAACTTTTGGGGGTGTTGGTTTCATGGGTGTTTAAACATCAAATTGTACACTTTAATGTGTACAGTTTTATTTTAGGTCAATTATATCTCAGTAAATCTGACAAAAAAAACACAACCCTCCAACTAATCTGAAGAATTTCTGTACAAGGAAGCTAATCATAACCAGACTTTCCATATCCCCAAGAGCTTTGTCCTCTTTAAAGGAGATAATGCAGGGGCGCCTGGGTGGCGCAGTCGGTTAAGCGTCCGACTTCAGCCAGGTCACGATCTCGCGGTCCGTGAGTTCGAGCCCCGCGTCAGGCTCTGGGCTGATGGCTCAGAGCCTGGAGCCTGTTTCCGATTCTGTGTCTCCCTCTCTCTCTGCCCCTCGCCCGTTCATGCTCTGTCTCTCTCTGTCCCAAAAATAAATAAACGTTGAAAAAAAAAAAATTAAAAAAAAAATAAAAAAAAAAAATAAAGGAGATAATGCATTATCCAATGATGCTGTCCTTGTTGCCCTCAAAGCCCACAGCCTATTTTGATGACTTAACAATGAGTATAAACATACTAATATAAACTAAGTGATGCAAAAATAAAATTAATCGTTCCATTTGTCATTTACAGTACCTGATATTGCTAGGCACTGAACTAAGTTTGTTTCAGAAACAAGATTCTTGGAAAGAGCAAAACAATAAAATAAAAATTACTTGGAGCTATGGGTACCTGGGTGGCTCAGTCTGTTAAGCGTATGACTCTTGGTTTCAACTCAGGTCATGATCTTGAGGTTTGTGAGTTCAAGACCCACATCAGGATCTGTGCCAAGAGTGCAGAGTCTGCTTGGGATTCTCTCTCTCTCCCTCTCTCTCAAAAATAAATAAACTTTGGGGCGCCTGGGTGGCTCAGTCGGGTGAGCATCTGACTTCAGCCTAGGTCATAATCTCATGATTCATGAATTCGAGCCCTGAGACTAGCTCTGTGCTGACAGCTCAGAGCCTGGAGCGTGTTTTGGATTCTGTGTCTCCCTCTCTGCCCCTTCCCTTCTTATGCCCTGTTTCTCTCTGTCTCTCAATAATAAATAAACATTAAAAATATTTTTTTAAATAAACTTAAAAAAAAAGTTAAAAAAAGAAAAAAATTACCTGGAGACAAATTTAAGACTTAAAATGGAATTCAAATCAAGATTAAATAGCTGTGTCTAAAAACCGGTGAACTCAACTGCTTACTATAAGTAACATCATACGTTTGTTTAACAACCAAAGGTAATATATGTCACAGGCAGCTGTCAGACCCAATGCACAATGAAAAAAACTGAGGTTTTATGAACTGCCCAGAGCCACAAAGCTCAAATGGAAGAGCTGACTCTTGATTAAGGTCCCCTGACTCTAAGTCTAATGTCTTATCAAGTCGATCAAATTACCTCTCTCTCCTGTACTTTATAACTTAACTTTAAAGATTTTTCTAATTTTATTTTTTATTTTTTAAAATTTATATCCAAATGAGCATTTAGTGCAACAATGATTTCAGGAGTAGATTCCTTAGTGCCCCTTACCCATTTAGCCCATCCCCCCTCCCACAACCCCTCCAGTAACCCTCAGTTTGTTCTCCATACTTGTGAGTCTCTTCTGTTTTGTCCCCCTCCCTGTTTTTATATTATTTTTGTTTCCTTTCCTTTATGTTCATCTGTTTTGTCTCTTAAAGTCCTCATATGAGTGAAGTCATATGATTTTTGTCTTTCTCTAATTTCACTTTGCACAATACCCTCCAGTTCCAGCCACATAGTTGCAAATGGCAAGATTTCATTCTTTTTGATTGCCAAGTAATACTCCATTGTATATATATACCACATTTTCTTTACCCATTCATCCATCGATGGACATTTGGGCTCTTTCCATACTTTGGCTACTGTTGATAGTGTGCTATAAACATGGCGGTGCATGTGTCCCTTCAAAAGATCACACCTGTATCCCGTGGATAAATGCCTAGTAGTGCAATTGCTGGGTCGTTGGGTAGTTCTATTTTTAGTTTTTTGAGGAACCTCCATGCTGTTTTCCAGAACTTTAAAGATTTTAAAAGAAGAGTACACAGCATTCTAATATGTCTAGTTTTATTTATTTATTTATTTATTTATTTATTTATTTATGAATGATTTTGGGGGTTTTTAAAAATTTTTTAATATTTATTTCTGAGATAGAGAAAGAGACAGTATGAGCCAGGGAGGGGCAGAGAGAGAGGAGACACAGAATCTGAAGCAGGCTCCAGGCTCTGAGCTGTTAGCACAGAGTCTGATGTGGGGCTCCAATTCACAAGCTGTGAGATCATGACTTGAGTCGAAGTCAGATGCTTAACTGACTGAGCCACCCAGATGTCCCTAAGATTTCATTTTTAAGTAATCCCTACGTCTAACACGGTGTTCAAACTTACAACCCTGAGTTCAAGAGTCACACTCTACAGACTGAGCCAGCCAGGCACCCCAAGATATCTAGTTTTAAATACACACTCATCTGAAGAATGATTGTTCTGACAGGTTTATCAAAAGAATTACTCCCCTCAGTCACACCTTATTACGTTTCTTCTAGGTATGAGGCAGCATATACTTCAAAATATTAGGAATCTGGCTAATTTTAATACATACTATTTGGCCTATTATGGAAAAATGGTTCTTTAAAGGTTTTGATGTTCTGTTTCTTCCAGTCATTTTGGCTGCCAGGTCTATACAAGTTCTCTAGGTGTCATACAGCTCCTCTTTATATTTTTACAATCTTTTTCCTCCCCAAATGAAATGCTTCGGATTTCAGTAATTGCTCTCTGTTGACTGCTAGTACAGAGTAGGAATTACTTAAACGCACAAAAACTTTCACTCAAGTCCACAAACGAACCACCACCTATCAAGTAAAGTTTTCACTCAGGTACTCAGAAATGAATGAATCCCTTTAAGCAAAGATACACACAACACCAGCACATTTTGAAATGAAATCTCACTAGGTTTGGTGCATCTTTTCAGATATCCTAGAAGCAGTCAAGTCCCAAACACCATGCATTTTCACACTGGGAGTTTTCAAACTCTTCCCATGTCCCAAATTATGGGTCAAAGTCCATTCAATCCCATCCATTAAGACACTGTAAGAGCCTTAGTCCATCCCAGCTCCAAAAACTGCATTAAGGGCGGGCCCACAATCATGCAAGTCTCAGGGCTCTATCAACGCACAGTCAAGACCCAAACAAGCACTTAACTTAGGCCCCACTGCTTAAGGGACAAAAGAGAGTGAAAAACCACTGTCAGCTCAGTTCAGGCAAAATTCACCACATGCTGAGTCCCAAAGGGTGATCACCTCCTGGGTCCACAGTCACAGAGCTGGACACAAACACCTCCAAACTGAAGACAGCTTAATTAAGAACAGGAGCAGTAAGATAAAAAAACATTCCCCATGCTGCGTAACAAGCCAAGGCTACACTTCAAAAAATGGTCCTTACTATAAGCAACCGACTGGCATGGTCTCTGCGAGGGCCAGTGTCCCATGCTAAAAACCTCTTATGAAGCCTCACTATCCTCCGGTACAGCCACGGAATGTGTGGTTAAAAAAAGAGGGAAAGCCCCGAGGCGACAGAGTGAACACGAGTCTTCCAGAGACTGAAGACTGAGGAAGAAATCTCAGTTCCCTAGCCTCTCTCGGAGTGGTAGCACTAAGAGCTGAAACCCGAACCTGCGAGCTCTGTCAGACCGCCCCGGTATGGACGACCCTAAACGTCAGGGCAGAGGGCACCTGGAAAGATATCAGTCACTGGGATCCTTAAGACAGCACCTTCACCATTAAGAGATATACCCACGAGGGTGCCGATCCCTAAATCCATGCCAGCGGGCTACATTTAGGTAGCGAACACTTCCAAATCAAAGTAAACAATTTTTCTTTGTTTGTTTTTAAAAGTTTGCCTGACTCTGCTCTTGACGCCATTTTCTGCCTGTGACGTCAGGGGGAGGCGCCGTGCGGCGACGTCACGCATAGGTGACGTCGCGGAGGGACCGGGTTTCGGGGTTTCTCACCAGTTCCGGGTCCCCGCAGGGGGCCCCGGTTTCCTCCGTTCCTTTGGGTGTGTTGGGGGCACGAAGCAGGGCTATTTTCCAGAGTCTCAGCAGTAAAAGCAGCACTGCAGTCGGAGCTTCTCCTCTTCCCGCAAAATGGCGGCACCTCCGCTGTCTTCCAGAACTTTCCCCAATCTGCGCAGGCGCCGAAACATTTAGGCGGTGGAACTAATCTCACTGGTTTCGCGGCAACAGTCCAAAGTCTAAATTTTCATTGGCCAAAACCCTAAGCATGGGTGGAGCCAAACTCAAATGTTTCTTAGCAACCATCAAGTTCCCATTGATTGGCTAACCTCTCCCAGACACGGTAAAGTGGAAGCGTCCTACGGCGGCCCGCCCGTAGCTCTCTCATTGGTTAGGCGACTTGAGGAAGGCGGAGAATGCGGGCAAAGAACCAGCGGGAATGACTTCCTACCCAGCTCCCGAGCTCCAGGCCAACGCCGGCAGGCAGAGCCGGCAAAGAGGTACAATTGACCTCTTTGCTAGTCCCTCCCTACTCTTGATTTGCCGAGGGTTGCTTCGGACTTACCTGTGACAGCTTTGGGGACACTGCGGCACACGTCAGGAGGGATGCCGAACTCCACATCCCCATTCTGAGCTGGCTGTCTACACAACCCTCCCAACCATCTCCTCTTGCCCTTAGTGCTTTGGCCCCAGGAAACACAAGTCTTGTAACAGATTTGTCTTCTTTCACATTCTGCCATATCGTCATTACCTGGTCCCACAGCTCACACGCCTCCCACTCCAAGAGTAAACTTGGAAGATTCTCCTGGGATTCCGTGGGTGCAATACTCAGCCCTCTCTAACCAGAAAGAGAAGGAACTAAGGTCCATTCTCACATTCCAAGGGCTTCCATAATCCCCACACTTCACTTGCCCCATACATGCTGCCAAAAACATAGCTGGTTATAACATCAAGAGAGCCAGAGTCAGAGGATCTGTGTTCTAGTCTTGAATACTAACTTTGTATCTATCAGTTTGATTCCTCCTCTGTAAAATGGAGAATTGGACTCTTAGGACTTCAAACTCTCACCTTGTGATTTTATTCAAACAAAATAGGTGCCTTCTTGCCGGCGATGCTTGGATGGCTTCCAGCTTCCCTTCCAAGAGGTAGCAAAGGAGCTGGTGGTGCAGCAGCTCAGAAAAGTGGAAGGGAAGCTGGCTTCACTCACTACTACATCTTTCTCCATAGTGGCAAAATTTCATCCCCAGAGAAAAGCCTAATCACAGGACCTAATGTACAAGACCTCTTTGCAGCTGGCCGAAAAGGCCTACGGCCAGGAGTCCAAGAGTGACCATTAAGCTTCCTGAATAGGGAACAAAGTTTTAGGGCGCTTTGAATCTTGCATAAGGGCACAGATCTGAATATGCCTAGGTTTAAGTAAAGTGTGGGAAAGCAGAGGCAGGGGGCAACAGGGTTGGAGCAGGAAAAGGCTATAACTTCACTTTATTTGTATTTCCTCCCACACAAAACCATCAAAACAGGAACAGAGATGGGCAGGGAAAAGGGCTGAAAATTTGTTCAATCCACATGTTCTCAGGGCTATTCCAGGGAGCGCTTGAGGCCGAATGCCTGTTGGAGTAGCTTCAGATTCAGCACTAATTCCTCCCACCCTGGCCTGAAGTCTTCACAGATTGGTGGCTCGAGCCCTGCAATTAATTCTCATCCTTTGCCCACCTTGATGTAAGGCAGGAAAGCAGACTGAAATGCTCCACTCTGATGGGCAAGGGGAATCACAGCCCACAGATGTACTGCACTTTCTGTGCTACAGGAGCAGAACTTGAAGCTGCTTCCAAGGTCTCAACACTTGTACACAGGGCTAGAGGCCGATGGTGTATGAGCGGCCTGTGGGGTTATGAATAGCAGAACAGACTGGTGCTGTCACAGCCCACTCATACCACACCTTCTTGGAATTGCTGCACCGCCAGAAACGGACACAGATGGTCTGGCCTTCGCGTACCGTAATGGGCTGCTGTAAGAAGAAAGACAGGGAGGTTCAGGGTGGAGCTAATGAATTGTATGTGGCAATGTACTACTGAGCTAAGTGTGCAGAGAAAAGGATAAAACATGACATTCCAACCCTCATGAAGTTTATTTGAAGTCTTTCAGAATGAATTATCTGAACAATCAGACACTAAACAAACCATTAGAAGTGTGATGAGTGCTATGAACATGCAGAGAACATTGCGCTACAAGAGCACCTAGGAGGCAAGGCGAACCTAGTTCAGGCAGTCAGTTAAAGTTATCTGACAAGTGGAATGTTTAAGGGGACCTGGAATACAAGTCAGCTGAGTGAAGAGATGAACAAAGAACTTTCCAGGCAAAGGAGGTGTGAAAGCCCGAGGCAGGAAAGAAGACAGGGTATTAGAGAAACCAAAAGAAGGTCCACAGAATCATGATGAGCATTGAGTAATGTACAGAATTGTTGATTCATTATGTTGCACACCTGAAACTAATATAACACTGCTTTGTTAATTATACTTCAATTGAAAAAAAAAAAAGGGCTGATGCAATGTAACTAAGGGAAGAGTAGCTGAAAAGACAAGCTAAAACTAGATCACACCATCTTACAAGGTTAAACCTTTCCCCTGATGGCAGTGGGAGGTCAATGAACGGTATTAAGCAGAACAGAGATATGACAAGATCTGGGCTTTTAAAAGATGACTCTTGCTCAAGGTAGAGACTAGACAGAAGAGGAGCCAGAGGAGATGTGGGGAAGCTAAGGAGACAGGCACCGCAGACATCTCAACATCTACAACAGGGATCCAAGAACATGTGGGAGTAGCAGAACATGGGTCATACTCAAGCATCCTCCTGAGAGCAGGGAAAGGGCAGAACACCAATGGCAAAAGTTACTCCTTAACCCATGGAATATTAAAGGTGATTCCTACCTTAATAGGGAAGAGGATGGGAAACCATGAGAACATCCCAGGAGAGTGAGTTTCTGGACGGATACCTGTTTGAAAAATAATGAAAACATTGAGGTCTCTGTGACTCTGCTTTTTGCCTGGGTTGAGGGGCGTGTCTTCTGTGAAGAGAGAAACAAGTAATCAAAGATCCCCATTCATTGATTCTTGGGCTCCCTGTGCATCTAAATGAAACATTAACAAAACTGCCCAGGTAACATACTCATGCCCTGCCATCCACTGCCCCAGACACTCACTCAGGGTGATGTCCTGATAAAGCACAGTTTCAAAGTAGCCTGCAAAGCCATGTAGCACTGTGTTCACCTCCACAGGAAACTCCAAGGTGCAATAGCGGTTGTTGTCAATCATAGGATCTGTCAAGGAAGAGTTATGTGGATGACAAGGGGCCAAAAGCTCTAGACAACTTGGTAAAGCAAGAGCAAAAAACAGGATGGGAAGCCTAGACAGAGCAGACCCAGGATAGCAAGAGAAGAAGCCAGAAAGGTAAGCTCTCACCCATCCAGTCAGAGGAGAGTCATGCGGGAACCCACCTCTGTTGGGATGGCTGAAGGTAAAACAGGGCTGGGGCGCTGACAGCTGGTGGAAGTTGTGCAGCCGTACCACATAAGGCATCTCAAACTGGGCCTGTCCCGAGAGACCAAGCAAGAGCTGGAGCAGACAGGCAAGACACACCTACTTCCCCAGGAAAAGAAGCCTGAGCCTCAGGGACACAGAAAAGGATAACATTTTCATTTCAACTTTCGCTTTCCCACATCCCCAGCTCCTCCATCACTTCATCTTCTCCAGTGCAAGAAAATAGTTGATGCTAACGTAGAAAAAGAAGATGACTAAAGAGAAAAGAGCTCTCCAGAAGACAGTGGCTCTTTACCTCAGGGTCACGGTCCTTTTCCCGACAGGCGCGGACCTCATTATACAGCTTGGAGGAGGAGATGGGAGCCAGAAAGGAGGTATACTCCCCAGGGATGCTCACACCATCATCTGGAAAGTAGGAGGGTCATATTAGTTCCCAAGGGATGAAAATGGTGCGTCTAACTGAAGGTTCAAACCTCCTACATCAAAACATACCACATGTGACAACATGGAGCTGTCTAGGTCTGTTTTGTCTAGGTCCTTTCATGAGAAATTCTACTTTGAGGTTAACTTACAGAGACACAGGTTAAAACTGGAAAGAACCTAAGATATTCTAATCTAGTGGTTCTTAACTTCTGTAGGGTCATAAAGAACCTTGATATATGGATGAAAGCTAAGCCCAAGGTACATATTACATCAGCTCAGGGAATCCACAGACCTCAGACTTAAGGAGGATCTGCTCTAGTCCACTCCTCTCATTTTACAGATGTGAACAGTGAGGTTCAGAGAAGTTACTTCATTTGCTAGGGCAATGACCCAAGTCCAACCCACCTTCCTTTAAACCTTGTCACCTCCTCCTAGGCTGCTGCTGCCTCACTCAACCCGCCCCCGCCCCCCAAACTGCCACAGCCTTCCAAGCTGAGAATCCATTCCCCTTACTCAGCACACCCCAGCCTAGAGGCACCTTTTAAGAAGTGTTGGGCTCCATCCAGGCACTCAGGTGACAGTTCATTGTCAGCAAAGGAGCCCAAAAGCTCACTGACGATGATGTCTGCTTTCTCTGGAGCCACCCATTCCCGCATGTCCGATGAGACTACGGTCACCTGGCTTCCCCATTCTTCAAATTGCCAGTTCTCTAGCCTAAAATAAAGATAATGCAAGTGAGGACACTGGTAAGAAAAACTGGCACTGGAGACAAACTTCCCAGCAAGGAGGTTGCTACTCACGTCACCACGGCATTTGGGTTCTTCTCCACAGCATACAGCTTTATCCTCCGGTCAGCCTGCTTGGCTGCCCTCAGAGAAGCATTTACCAGGGGACCCCGGCCTGCTCCCAACACCATTAGCACTCTAAGAAAGAGGAAGGGTCAAGCTGACTTAGCAGATAGAGAAGAGGTATGCAAATCTCTGGGATTGTGGGCAAGAGCACTCACTGGACATTGGTATCCTTCTCTTCGTCAGGCACTCGATCTAACAGACATTTATAGATGGCCTGGTGGAGGAAGGAGAAAAGACCTCATGGCTATGATCCCATCTTCACCCAGGACATCCCGGCCCTGTACCTGACCCAGACCCACACTATACCTGCTGATATTGAGAGTATTTGATGGGGTCCTTTTCAAACACTTCATATGTCTGAGATTCCAGATTGTCCATCAGTGGCTGATGAATGAGAGGAAAAAGGGAAAATAAGTTAGCCAGTTTCTGGCAAGGGCAACACACCAGAATACCAAAAAATTTCCCACTGCTTCCTGAGCTCTGGTAGGATTTTAGGGCACCTATGGTCAGAGACTCTTCTCCCACACCTCCCTCCTCTCAGAATACTCCAGACCCACCTGGAGTGGGGACTGCAGATAGTCTTCATAGCCCTTGGCAAAGAGTTCGTAAGCATTGGGTGGAGGACGGTTCTGGCTCAAGTATTCCAGGTACTGGAGGTAAGAACAGAACTCCTTCTCTGAGTGGTGGTTGGTGCCTGTGATGATGAACTGCACTTCCAGCTGTGAGAGAAGTCAGACCATCAGGTACAGTCCTCGAACCAAGATTCTGGGATATTGTTATGGCTTATGGCCAAAGAACCCTGGCGTAAAATAAGGCCCAAACGATCAGTCTTCCAGTTCAACAGATATCTCCAAGTATCAACACAACAGCATGAAGCTTCAATAAACTTATAAAGCCCTCTAATGCCATATAAGCATCATCCTGACTCAAACAGCCCCATCGATCCTCACTGTAACATCTTAAATGAAACCTTCTGCAAAGTTCTCATGAGATTTGGTTCCTTTTGAAATGTTCTGGGGCTCCTCATCCCATTCACCTCTTTGTTCTCAAGAGCTCCAATTTTGATGAAATCGCTCCCCAGAAACCAGAAAGGAAAAGAATCAGCCTCACAGAAAAAAAAAAAAAAAAGCACCACACATATGTGAATAAGGCAAGAGGATTAGCTGGAGTATCTTTGGAAACCTTCTACCACCCACCTTGAGGAGCCGGAAGATCAGCCTCTGATGCATCTTAGAAAGAACAGGAAATCCCTTCTTATTGGTCAGGAAAATGCTGGTGGGGAGAATGGCTGCTTTGATGGGCTCCCCAAGCCAACGATCAATGACATGGTTAGATGGGAGGTCGGCCCCAATTTCAAGAGCTACACGAGGGAAAAGAAAGTTAACTACTATATAAGAAGGCTTTCCTTGCTTTTTTGTGCAACATCTGTTTACTCCTTAAGAGCAAGGCCTACTGAGACATAAAGTAGCAAAACTGCCCAGCAGCCTAGTATACATGAAACTCCTTTTTTTTTTTAAACGTTTTTTTTTTTTTTATTTGAGACAGGGAGAGACAGAGCATGAACAGGGGAGGGTCAGAGAGAGGGAGACACAGAATCTGAAACAGGCTCCAGGCTCTGAGCTGTCAGCACAGAGCCCGACGCGGGGCTCGAACTCACAGACCGCGAGATCATGACCTGAGCCAAAGTCGGCTGCTTAACCGACTGAGCCACCCAGGTGCCCCTGAAACTCCTGATTTTTTTTTTTTAACTGTATCCAGCTTTATTAAAGATACTTTTCATAAACAATCATGGTATTTCAGGCAGAACATGGGCAGACAATGTTAACAGTATACAGCAACTTTCAAACTCCTTTCTTTAATGGACTACCAAAGTCAGAAAGCCATTTCATAAAACCCAATGAAGTCTTCATTTGATGCTCTGAACAGGGAAAAGTTTAAAGAAATTTTAATATTTTATTTATTTTTGAGAGACAGAGACAGCACAAGTGGGGGGAGGGGCAGAGAGAGCGGGAGACACAGAACTCGAAGGGGGCTCCAGGCTCTGAGCTGTCAGCACAGAGCCCAAAGTAGGTCCCAAACCCATGAACTGTGAGATCATGACCTAAGTTGAAGCCAGACGCTTAACCGACTGAGCCACCCAAGTGCCTGAACAAGGAAAAGTTTAGAGTAAGGGTTGACATTTCACATTTAGCATGTTGTTAAACAACTTTTCACAAGCCAACCCTGACTTTGAAATGAAAATGGCAGAATTATCAATCTGATGCTCCACAAGCTAAAAGAAGAACTCTTTTGAGGGATGCCATCTCCCTGCAAAGTCCAGATTGCCTGACATACTGGGAACCATTTTGACACTCGGGTCAGGTTCCAACAGGTCTCTGGGTTTAAGGAAGTCAAATCTATGTTGAAGGCAGAGAAGGAGAAGAGGACATAAAAAATGAATTTTAGTTTTTCCACACCATAAGGTGTCTGTGCCAAGGTGGCTAATGTGTATCATCATTAAGGAATCCCTCCTCCTGAGAAGCAAAGAGGAAGTTTCTCAGAACTAGAAGGGAAAGGTATTTTCTCCCCCTTATCAATCTAGCTTCAGAGATATTCAATTAGTGACATTTGTCTTCCCCCTAAATAACAATGAAGTGTTCTGTGTACTAACAACATAGCTTAAAAGAAAAAAAAGTAAACCAGGGATGCCTGTGTGGCTCAATCAGTTAAGCGTCTCTTAATTTCAGATCAGGTCATGATCTCATGGTTCATGAGATTGAGCCCTGCATTGGGCTCTGTACTAACAGCAAGGAGCCTGCTTAGGATTCTCTCTCTCCCTCTGCCCCTCCCCTGCTTGCTCTCTCTCTCTCTCTCTCTCTCTCTCTCAAATAAATAAATAAACATTAAAAAAAGTAAAAAAAAATCTTCATTTTAACAAAACTTAATAAGTATTTCAAGCTGTAAAGTCACCAGAAGTACATAGTTATCAAAAATGCACACATTTCACTTGGCATCTCCAAAAACTCCTAATTCTTTTTTTTTAAATATTTATTTAGTTTTGAGAGAGATATATATAAGAGAGAGGGAGAGTGTGTGCAGGGGAAAAGCAGAGAGAGAGGGAGACAGAGGATCTGAAGTGAGCTCTGTGCTGACATCAGAGCCCAATCTCACAAACTATGAGATCATGACCTGAGCCGAAGTCGGATGCTTAACCAACTGAGCCACCCAGGTGCCCCCAAAACTCCTAATTCTTACTCGCAGGAGGTCAGAGAAGGGATACCTATCCCGGTACCCTTGTGGACTTACCCACCGCAATCCTCTTGCTATAGTCACACAAGGTCCGGAAGTTGTGCCACCTGTTGGGGTCAAATACAGAAAAATACAGTCAAATATATATAGCTCACCAATTACCACAGCTCGAGGAGACCTCCCTACAGGCTCCATCCTGTACCTCCCCTTATCCTCCCCTTTGCCCTGGCACAGCAGCAAAAGGAGACATACCACATCCATGTCTTCTCCTCTCCACTGTACTCCTCTGTGTGTGTACTTGGTGCATTCTCAATTATATCATCTCTCAGGTCCTCTGGGGCCACCAAGGGTACCCGCATCCAGAACTGCACACGAACAAGTACTCTATTTAGAACTCTTTGGAACTCACTAGGTCCAGAAAGCTTCCTTCAATTAAAAATATCTTGATCCACAGGGCACCTGGGTGGCTCAGTTAAGCATCCCACTCTTGATTTCGGCTCACAGTTGTGAGATTGAGCTCCGTGTCAGGCTCTGCGTTGATAGTACAGAGCCTGCTTCAGATTCTCTCTCCCTCTCTCTCTGCCCCTTCCCCACTTGTGCTTGCTCTCTCAAAATAAACTTCAAAAAAAGAAAAATCTTGATCCAGCTCACAAGTTAATCCTTTTATGTTTTTCCCAACTTGTGGTTATATGCACATGTACACTTACCTTGTGTATATCCTTATGTAAATACCTGCCTTGTCCTTTATTGCAACTGTAAGTTTCTAGAAATAACTATACATTCTATATATTTTATAACAGTCTGCTTACCACTTTTAGATGCTGGTAGGCAGTACTGACATGTCAGTTCTCCCAAATGCACTCTTTACTCAATGGCTAGGAACAAGAAAATACCTAGCAGACTATCATAACATGCAGCCGAAAGGGAGGCCCTTAGCCATACCATGGAGGAGTGGTGGCCAGTGTGGATGTGGTTGGTCAAAACCCTGGCCAAGTTTGTGTTATCTTCCTGATTTAGGGGCAGCAGGAAAGCTGGAAGACCCAAATATGCCCCAAAATTCAGCTCCTGTAACATGGCCTGGAATGGAGATCAAGAGGAAAAGGTTAAGAGCTAGGAATCCAATTAGCTTTAATTGAATTATATTAGATTTACTAAGTTATGGGAGAAAAAAAAAAAAAACAAAAACTGCTCTTTGCACCCAGCGTGGTTATGAACCTGACCTCTAGACAAATCCATTGGATTGGTGAAACAGTCTTACCGCCTCAGAGTTCCTGCGGATCTTCTCCACTTTTGAGTCTGGACGAATCCATGGAGAAAGCTTTCCCACAATTAGCGTATTCCAGTCTGCACTCCCCCCATCCAAGAAAGACAAAGACTAAATGAGGGTCAGCACTTTACTTGTTCAATTTCTAGTTCTTAACAGGGAATAAAGAGTAGAGATGAGAGATAAAAGACTTTTTCTATCACAGATATGGGATAGCCTGATGCAGAATAGACTACAGCTTTTAGCAGGTAAGCAAGAAAACAAGAGTTATCTGTGTCCCAGGACTAACCAATATATCCAAGTCAGGAAAGGAGGAGAATGAGGGCACTGTTAAAGCAGAAGTTGTTACTGCCTCTAATAATTAAGGGGCATATGGGATGGTCCCTACCCCTTCCTGACAGCAGTAGGTCTGATCGTGTCTGGGGGCCCGGCCGATTCTTAGCAGGTTCCTGAGTGAACTCCCTCTTGAAACGCGGGTGGAAGACAGGCATGCAGAGGAAATCAAACCTACAACCGCGACAGACCCAGAATCGTCATGTAAAGAGAGCAGCAGTGCCCAGAAATCCAAGCAACTGGATTAGGCTATCTCAATTCTGCACAACCCTCTCAGCTGCCATCAGTCACCCGACGGGACTGCTGAGTTCAGCCCACCTTGGGGCAGATCACTTCCGCTGCACTGTGCCTCAATTTCTCCCCAAAACACAGGCATGGAAAAGACAAGGAGAGAAGATAAAAATCCACCCCAAGTGGATTTCTACTCTGCTGTCACCGGTTTTCCAGGATCGTCACATCCAGATTTGCCCCAGTATCGCCCATGCCTTCCCCCTTAAGATTTACCTCTTCTCTCTCTAGCCCCCTGACTCTCCCTCCCACTCTCAGACTGTAATCCCGCTCTCCAGGGCCTTGGAGATCTGTATGTCCCCTTTTCGAGTTTACCTGACAACTCCCCCGACTTTGGGGCTCAGTGACCACACACCTCCAATAAGTTTGGTTTTTTTTTCTTACGCCCCAGAGCCTAAGGCTCTCCACCCACCCGCAAGGAGCAATGGTTTCTCCCGCCCTAATCTTACTCCGACCCCCTCACCCCTGCTTCTCGGAGATGACTAGTCTGTCCCCCCTTCGTCCCCGAGTTCGGAGCCCGCATTCCGCTTGCAGAGGTCTGGGCCCTCACCCCTGCTTGGCCACAGCCCCCAAAGTGTCAGCTATTTCGGGGACGCAATTCAGGTCCCTGCCGCTGGACACGCGGCTCCCACCGGCACCTCCGACCGCCATCGCCGCCATCTTTTCCCTCGCGCTGTCCACGCCGGGATTCCTTGATATTAGCAGCCAATCAAAAAGCCAGAAAAAAGCCCCCGGAAGGCGGGATGAGTCGCCCTAACAACCAGAGCGTCTTCCACGGCTTCAGAGCGAGAGGCGGAGGGGTGGGGAGTGGCTCCTCCCGCCAATCCGCGGGCTGCACAGTGGCTTACGGCGTGGCTCCGGAAGATCCACCAATCTCAGGGTCTGGTTCTCGACGAATTTCAATCTCCCACAATGCTTCGTGCATTCATAGAACTCCGTCAAGGGACTACACGTCCCATGAAACCCTGCAATATAAGCTTGAAGTGTCATCATGGAGTCAAGTGTAATTGTCTCAGGGCCAGTGGCGCAATGGATAACGCGTCTGACTACGGATCAGAAGATTCCAGGTTCGACTCCTGGCTGGCTCGGTGGGACTGAGACTCCTTTATTGCATCGCATGCGACACGGCCTTAAGCAAAATCTTTTAAATCTCCCTTCCTTTCCTTACACTCTTAGAAGTTTCCTCTTTTATCTTTTCGCACCTTCGTTTTATAGGTCTTAATTTGACTGAGTTCTGCAGCCATCTTATGTCAGCTTTTTCCGTTACCTAATTCAGAAATGACTCTTGTGTCACTACTTGCTTAGGTCCATCTAAGCAAGAGAATTGAGTTAATGGCTGGTGCTCTTAAAATGGGCTTTGTATGGGCCTTCGTATATTTACAAATAGATTGTGGAAACTCAGCCACTAATTCCTTGTGATTTTATATCTCAACACAAAAGGTAAACACACACACTCACACATTCGTGGTAAGGGATTACAGCGAAGAGGAGTCATGAAGTGCCTGGAGGAGGCCTGGGAAAATATATACACTCTTGTTAGAGGGATGGAAAGAAGCAGAGGAATGAAGCAAGGGAAGACACGGGGAGGAGAAAGGGAATACCTGAAGGCGGGGAGCCCAGAGGTGTTGAGGGCCTGGGAGCAGGGATGGAAAAGAGAACACAGTGCAAAAAGCCCGAAGAAGGAGGCGTTGACAGAACTTAGGGACTGCTTCGCAGGGCTCCAGGAAAGAGGAGTCTGGGTTCTGGCCTCTGTGAGTGAAACCAGAAAGGAGAGAAGCGGGTTTAGGGAGAATCAAAGTTCGGGTTTGGAAGTGCTGAATTGATTGGGCGCCTAGGGGGCGCTGTGTAATAGAGAGTTGGATGAACAGTGAGTGATCTGATCTGAACCAGAGAAGATTTGGAAATGCCAGAAGAGAGGTAGTGATGAAAGCCACGAGACTCAATGAGATCATCCTGGACCGTTGGGGACAAAGTCCTTGGAAACATGGAAAGGGTGTGGATAGGATAAGCTCTAAAGAACTCCGGGTGCAACGATAAATGCTCCAGAAGGACGAAAGTCAAAAAGCCAAACAACTAAGAAAAGGCATACAAAAAGCCTCAAGTGGTTGGAAGTGCTTTTGTCCTATCATTACTAGTACACCTACTACAAACTACTACTAGTAGACTTTATTTCTTTGCTTAAGTTTATTTATCTATTTTGAGAAACAGAGCACAAGCAGGGAAGGGGCAGAGAGAGAGAGGGGGAGAGAATCCTAAGCAGGCTCCACACCATCAACACAGAGCCCCATTTGGGGCTCTGACTCACCAATCATGAGATCATGACCTGGGTAGAGATCAAGATTCGGACCCTTAACCGACTGAGCCACCCAGGCACCCCTAGCACTTTATTTGCTAAAACAGTTTTAGATTTACAGAATGATTGAGCAGATAGTACAGTGAGTTCCCATGTGCCTCCCCAGAGCTCTCTTTGTTATTAAGATCTTCACATGTATGGTACATTTATTATAATTCAGGGACCAATATTGATAAATTATTATTATCAAAGTCTGTAGTTTATTCAGATTTCCTTAGTGTTTACCTAATGTCCTCTTTCTGTTACAAGATCCAATCCAGAATACTGTGTTACATATAGTTGTCATGTCTCCTTAGGCTCCTCTGGGCTGTGACAAGTTTCTCAGTTGTTCCTTGTTTTTGATGGCCTTGATAGTTTTGAGAAGTACTGGTCAGGCATACTATAGGATGCCCCTCTGTTGGAATTTAGTTTGTCTGATTGTTTTCTCATGATTAGACTGGGATTATGGGTTTGGGGAGGAAGATCACAGAGGTGAAGTATCATTTTCATAATATATCAATAGTACATACTATCAACATAATTTATGACTGTTGATGTTGACCTTTATCACCTGGCAAGAGTAGTATTTATCAGGTTCCTCCACTGTAAAATTACACTCTCCCCACCCCCTCCCATCCTGTGCTCTTTGGGAGGAAGTCACCATGTGCATCCCACACTTAAGGAGTAGAGAGTTCCGCTGACCCTCCTTTAGGGTGGAGTGTCAACAATATTTATTTGGAATTCTTCCCTGCAGGTCTTATGAGTAGGTGGTTGTCCACAGGAAGTGGGTGAGTGCTCTACCAACATTTTAAGAGGTAAAGAAGAGTTTTCAGGAGGCCTGCTTGTTCTCTGCCCCAGCTGTGCCCAACCAAGCTCTACATTCAGAGAAGACTTATGAGATGTGGTTTCTTCTTCGGAAGCTAATTATCTGGGTTGTGGACCATCTGTGCTCCTGGCATCTTCCTCCTGATGTCAAGCTGGTGGCTGCTCTTGGCTGTTGGTTGTTAACTAACCCATCCACGAGTAAGAGAGAGAGAGAGAGAGAGAGAGGAAAATCTATAAAACAGTAATGTCAGTTTTGCCATCATTAAAATAATTTTCAAAAGAATATGTGTAAAAAGGGCTTGGAATTTGTTTGGCCTTAAAATAAATTCACATGGGCTGCATTTCAATTCTCTGTAATGTCTTTGGTTTTTCATTCAAGATGGCCTCAGCTCTAAGGCAAGCATGATGCTGAACAGCTCACAATAATTCCATACCATGTTGTTCCCAGTCTTTCCTACAGCACTTACCTGTGACTTAAAAAAAAAATACAGCAAATACTATGGGTCTATCTATATGAACCAGAGAGAAGCAGAAGGCAAGGAGTGAAAAAGAAACAGAGAACTTTGTCAAGGACTTGGCCCTAAGCATAAAGTCAGAGCTGGCAAAGTCTGTCTTCTGTTCTGACTCCTTCTGCCCTGCCCTCTGTGCTGAACTCTTGTGCTCAGAAACATGTAAGTCACTGATAGAAGGCCTCCAGATCCAAGCCTTTGCTGAGATGAGGGTAGGGAGATGGTAGGACAGTGGGGCAGATACAATATTATTTTCTCCCAACAGGAGCCAGTGACCAACAGGCAAAGCACTGGAAACTCCTCTGGAAAGGAAACAGTATCCTCCCCCAGATAATTCTCTCCTTACCCCCCCCCCCAACCCCCACCCTTCCACACCATCCCTAACCCTGCCTGGCATTCCTCACCTTCAGGCCCAGTTCTTCTACCTGATCCTGTTTTTGTGACCTTGTTTAAACACCTCCAGCCCATTGTAAATGCTCCTTTCATCTCTGGTGCTCAGCTCCTCCCTCAGCACTTGCCTCCCTCCCCAGGACCCCTTCACTCACCTCTGTGCCTGCCCAGCCAGCTACACTCTTCAACACCAAAATAATGGACCGTTTGACCCTCCTACTGCTCCAAATTGCGCCTGTACAATCAAGGCTGTCCTGCAGCTACAAAAGTGGCGGAGTTACTGAGGCAAAATAATCTGTGCCGATTTGCATTCTCTTCCTTGTCATCTCTATTATACAGTGTTTATCTGTCAAAATGAATAGAAAGTAGAAACTGTTCTGGAACATAGAAAAAGATGGAAAACTACCCAATTTGTTTACGAAGCCAGAATATACCTAATATCAAAACCTGTCAGAAATAGCACCCCCTCAAAAAAACCCTATAGACAAATCTCACTTATGCTGCACATAAATGTAAAAATAAAAAATATTTAAGATTAATACATAAAGGTCAACAGTATATTAATATAATAATTATATACCACAACCAATTAGAGCTTAATCTCAGGATTTAAGACAAGATTAGGTATTAGGAAATTTATTTATATAAAAGGTCAAAATAAACCAAACAAAAAAAATTTGATCATTTTTAATAGTCACCAAAGAGAACGTGGCAAATCAATTCCATTTCCTGTAAACACTCCTAATAGTGTTAATATTCTTCATATATAAACACATGTATTTATATATACGAAGTCAACAGTTTATGTAAAAAAAAGAATGTCTACTTTCATCACTGTGTTATTTAATATTATTCTGAAAAATCAAATAAAATAGGCTGGAAATTTGAAAAAGGGGTTACAGCTTTTGGAAAGAGAGAAGCAAATTTATCACTGTTTGCAGATGATATAATTGTATACATAGAAAATCCATAAGAATCTATTTTAAAATGATGAGAACTGAAAAAAAAAGGGGAGGGGGCACCTGGGTGGCTCAGTTGGTTAAGTGTCTGACTTCAGCTCAGGTCATGATCTTGCGGTTGCGGTCTGTGAGTTCAAGTCCGGCGTCTGGCTTTGTGCTGACAGCTCAGAGACTGGAGCCTGCTTTGGATTCCGTATCTCCCTCCCTCCTGTAGCCTTTTAAATGCTGAGAATAACCAGTTAGAAGATATAATTAATAAAAATATCCCAAAAACATGATAGTTAAGATTATGGACTGTGAAGAGGTGCCTGGCTGGCTCAGTCAGTGGAGCATATGACTTTTGTGGGATTGTGGGTTCAAGACCCACCGTGGTTACAGAGATTACTTAAAAATAAAATTTTGGGAGTACCTAGGTGGCTCAGTTAGTGAAGCATCTGACTTTAGCGGTCATGATCTCACAGTTCATGGGTTCAAGCCCTGCGTCAGGCTCTATGCTGACAGCTGAGAGCCTGGAGCCTGCTTTGGATTCTGTGTCTCCCTCTTTGCCCCCCCCCCCCCCACTTGTGCTTCTTCTCTCTCTCTCTCAAAACTAAATAAGCATTAAAATTTAAAAAAATAATAAAATCTTTATATATATAAAAAAAGACAGGACTATGGAGCCAGATGGAAAGAGATTAAAGTTCTGTTCTTCCATTTACTAGCCACGTGAGCATAAACATCTCTGGCCTCAGTTTCCTCATCCATAAGATGGGATTGTAAATAACAGTTTTTATCTATTGAGAATTAGTTAAGTTTAAATGTTTCTTTATTCTGAGAGAGAGCGAGCAGGGGAGGGGCAGAGAGAGAGAGAGAGAGGGAGAGAGAGAGAAATCCCAAGCAGGCTCTGTGCTGACAAAGCCCAATGACTCAGGGCTCCACCTCAAGAACCATGAGATCATGACCTGAGCCGAAATCAAGAGTCAGTGCTCAACTGACTGAGCCACCCAGGCACCCTGATGATTACTTCAGTTTAAATTAATTAAAATAGCAACACACTTTCCTGCACATAGTAAGCCTTCAATATCATTATTAGGGGGCACCTGGGTGGCTCAGTCGGTTAAGTGTCCGACTTCGGCTCAGGTCATGATCTCACGGTCCGTGGGTTCGAGCCCCGCGTCGGGCTCTGTGCTGACAGCCCAGGGCCTGGAACCTGTTTTGGATTCTGTGTCTCCCTCTTTCTCTGACCCTCCCCTGTTCATGCTCTCTCTCTGTCTCAAAAATAAATAAATGCTAAAAAAATTAAAAAAAATATCGTGATTAATATTTTCCCCATTCACAGTGGTAACAATAACACTGCTATAAAATACTTAGTTGTAACCTTACTGAAAAATGTGAGGAACCTATATAAAGAAAACAATAGGGGCACCTGAGTGGCTCAGTTGGTTAAGCATCCAACTCTTGATTTCAGTTCAGGTTCATGAGATCAAGCCCCACGTCAGGCTCTGTACTGACAGCGTGGAGCCTGCTTGGAATTCTCTCTCCTCTCTCTGCCCCTCCCCTGCTTGCACACACTCTCTCTCTCAAAATAAATAAATAAACATTAAAAAAAAGAAGAAAACTACAAAGTTTTGCTGATACAATGAAGGAGAAAAAAAAGGAGACAGCCGTGTTCTTACAAAAAATGAATCTCATAAAGATGTCAATTCTTACAAAATTAATTTCTCACTTTTACAACATTCAATCACAATTCTAATGGAATCTTTTGTTACTTGACAAAATGATTCCACTGTTCATCTGTATAAAAATCAGACAAGAAAAGCAAAGAAAATTTTAAAAAAGAGGAGAGTGAAGAAGGAATTTATTCTATAGTTTTAGCCCTTTACCTTAAACCCCTTTATGAAATAAGCAATGTATAAATAAAGAGACACAACGTGCAGTTGGTATAAGAATAGAGAGAATAAAAGAGCTAAACCAATAGTCCAGAAACAGACCAGTTGTATGTGTGTACATGTTTGTGATTAAAAATGATTTTATTTGTAATAATAAAAACAGCTAACAATTACTGAGCCCTTCTTTTGTGTCAGGTTCTATGAAAAGCATTCCACATTTATAAGAACGCTGTGAGGTAGGAAATATTATTCTTTCAGTCTTAGAAAGATTAAGTGAGCTGCCCCTCTAAGAAAGAGTTTAGATGGGGTACAAACTCAGGTCAACAGACTCTAGAGCCTTCGATCTTAACCTTAAGATATATCATCTATAATTTTCCTTCTAGAAAGCTATCCTACTATCCTAGACAAACTTTCCAAACTAGGACAAAGATTAATTAAGAGAAATGCTTAGTGTAGCATTTTTTTATGATTACAAAGAATGTAAAACAACAACTTGGATATCCTATAGGGGTATGGTTAAATAAATCATCCATGCAATGAAATCTTAAGCAGCCATTAAAATCAATGTTGCCAGAGAAAATTTAATAGCATGGAGGACCACTCAATGATATGCTATTCTGTGACACAGATTACAAACTGTATACACAGAATGACTTTGATATGTGGGAAAAAAGTGGTATTTTCCAAATGTTCTGTAATAAATGTGTTTATATTATATGAAAGACATTTTTAAAGTTTATTTATTTATTGAGAGAGAATGAGTAGAGGAGGGCAGAGAGAAAGGGGGACAGAAGATCCAAAGTGGGCTCTGTGATGACAGCAGAGAGGCCAATGTGGGGCTCAAACTCATGAACTGTGAGATCGTGACCTAAGCTGAAGTCGGACACTTAACCGACTGAGACACCCGGGTGCTCCTGGAGGACTTTTCTTTAAATTTTATTTATTTTAACAGAGAGAGAGAGAGAGAGAGAGAGAGAGAGAGAGAGAGAGAGAGAGAATCTCAAGCAGGCTCCAAATGCAGCACAGAGCCTGATGTGGGACTCAATCCCACAATCCTGGGATCATGACCTGAGCTGAAACCAAGAGTTGTATGCTCAACTGACTGAGCCAACCAGGCGCCCCAGTTTAAGGCCTTTAGAGCAAAAACCGAGGTTTCCCGCTGAAGAAGAAATTCTGCCTCAAGACAGGAGCATCGCTTCTGCCACAGTTTCCTGCCTACAGCCTGCGCTATAAATTTCAGAATTGCCAGCCCCACAATCACATGAGCCAATTCCTTAAAATAAATCTTTTTATCTAATTAATAAAATATAATAAATATAATAATATAGCATACATAATAATATAATATAATCATATAATCATAGGTTCCGTTACTTGGGAGAGCCCTCACCTTGCTCTTTGGATAACCCTTTTCTAAACTCTGGGCTAATTGTTTACTTTTCATTATACGTTCTTTCTTCAGCCAGGCTTGGTACATTTAAGTGTCTCTAAATTTCATTGTATTTTTCTGAGACTAGGAAAGCCACTTAGGCTAGACCTCAGCCACTCAAATACATACCATTTTTACTGTTTTTTATTTTTTTTAAGTTTATTTATTTATTGGGGGGGCGGGCAGACAGAGGGAGAATCCCAAGCAGGCTCTGCACTGTCAGCACCTAGCCCAATGAGGGGTTCAAACTCACAAATCGTGAGATCATGATCTGAGCCGAAATCAAGAGTCTAAGGCTTAACCAACTGAGTCACCCAGATACCCCATCGACGACATACCACTTTTCTTGGTAAATTATTTCTACAGATTGCTAATCTTGTCCATTATCAGTTGCCTCTTACATTTTCACTGTCTTAAGATATGAAAAGACCTACCAATTCCTTTTTTTAGTAACATATAATTTTTTTTTTAACATTTATTTGAGAGAGAGAGAAAGAGACAGAGCACAAGTGGGAGATAGGCAGAGACAGGGAGACACAGAATCCAAGGCTCCAGGCTCTGAGCTGTCAGCACAGAGCCCCAGGCAGGGCTCAAACTCTCGAACTTGTGAGATCAGAACCTGAGCTGAAGTCGGATGCTCAACTGACAGAGCCACCCAGGCACCCTGACCTACCAGTTCCTTTAACAAAACCTAGCTCAGGTCCTTCAAGATGGGTAATGCGGAGGGACTGTTCACAGGGTGAGGGGCCCCACAGAGGGGGGTGGATGTCAGGGATTCCTTTCTCCTTTGGGGATCATCAGACTGGGCTCTAGGGGGGCACTGTATTTCCTCTTTGTGGTGGCTGAGGGAAAATGCAGGGTGGCTGCCCCAGAGACCTGGATAGTCACCCTTCATAGAGAACCTTGAAGGAACAGGTTTAGTTTGTCCAAGAGCCCCAGAGTTTCCTTAAGGAAAACAATCCTGGGGGCGCCTGGGTGGCTCAGTGGATTAAGCATCCGACTTCCGCTCAGGTCATGATCTTGTGGTCCGTGAGTTCAAGCCCTGCATTCAGCTCTGTGCTGACAGTTGAGAGCCTGAAACCTGCTTCGGATTCTGTGTCTCCCTTTCTGTCTACCCATTCCCCACTTGTGCGTTCTCATTCTCTCTCTCTCTCTCAAAAATAAATAATTATTAAAAGAAAAAAAAAGAACAATCCTATCCTGAGCTCTGGAGGTGATATACTTTGTTTCTTATTATTGAGGAAGAATCAGCAAGACTTAGTTCTTGGTCAGATGTAGTAAAAGACAAGTGAAGAAAGATATGCCTGCAAAAGAATGAAGGAAAGGCAGTAAATGTAAATCTCTACTGAAATGCGTGAGGGGCAGCGAGGGCAACTGAAGTCCAAGATGTTAACCTTCAGCTCTCACTGTCACCCACCCCCTCTGCTGGCCCTCCTCCAATCCCCTTCCCACCTAGTCCACACTAGCCAACGGCTCATCCTGCGAACCTGCTATCTCCACTCACTGCGAAGAATGAGGACCAAGACAAACTGCTGTAGTGTCCCCTTTGGGCAGCACCGAACACCCTTCATGTCCCTTCTCCCACCTCCATGGAACAGTCTGGAGATACTTTTCCTACCAAACTATATTCATAAGCTCAGGAATTAGTTTATTTTTTCATGAAATTACTAGAATTAATATATTGATTTTCTATACCAAAAATGCTTTAAAGGCACTTGAGCAAGAAACAAATGCAATGATATTCAATTAAGCATTGTGTAATAGGGCAAACTGGGAACAATCTGAATATCTATCATAAAGGGAATGGTGAAATCATGATACAGCCATACCCCCAACGATATGAGCTAATATTTCTGTGCATACATTTGCAAATGTTTAGAAAAAGCTCTGCTCTGGCATTATATTCACCAAATCAGTCTAGTTATTCTGGCGTAGTGAATTGGCATAATGGGCTGTGTGTGTATGTACACGCATGTGCACGTTAAACCTTTTACTTTTATATATTTCTGCTTGAATTTTTTTACAAAGCACATTTGTTTTGCTTTTAAGCCAATGTTTTTTATATAGTTGGGCAGCACTGTTGCTAGCAAATGTTCAGTTTTATTTAGGTTTTGGGAAACACGAGGAACAACTAGCTGTCCAGCTCCCTGTCATTTAGGGAACTAGGGCTGGGAACCACTGCCTTGGAAGCCATTTTGTTTTCTCAGGCAGTCACTTCTCAAACCTCAGCTCTCCAGAAACTTGATTGATGCCAGGGGATATTCTTATCAAATTTTGGTCATTTAAGATGAAAGCTTTCCTTGGTGTGCGATTTACTCATTTCTCACCCTGTGCTTTCACTTACCATCGCTTCCCCTTTCTCTTTGTCACTTTTTGCACAATGCCATCCCAGACTCACCTCTACAAATCCTGAACCAAATCTGTTTTCCCTACTAAGGCTCTACCTTATAATCCCGGATTCACTTCTCTTGGTTTTTCAACCATACTCATTTGCACTTCCTGTTACTTTATATTCTTAGACTGTCTTTTAAATTAATTTTTTAACGTTTATTCATTTTTGAGAGGGGGGGAGGGGCAGAGAGAGAGGGAGACACAGAATCTGAAGCAGGCTCCAGGCCCTGAGCTGTCAGCACAGAGCCTGATGCAGGGCTCAAACCCACAAACTGGGAGATCATGACCTGAGCTTAAGTTGGATGCTTAACTGACTGAACTACCCAGCCGCCCCATATCCTTAGACAGTTTTTATGTGTCCACTATTGTCTATAAGTTGTAGACACTAAGACAGAGTCCATTTTTTTTATCATTATTTCAAATACCAAAACCTAGTATGGTTTAAAATGAGTACCTAACTGAGGAAATGCTAAATGCCATAATAAATATCAGGAAAAACTATTTTGAGACTTTTGATGTCATCTCCAGATGCTACTAACTACAAAGGGAAAATGTACTTCTATATTTTAATTCTGAGCTTTTTTTTTTAAATTTTTTTTTTAACGTTTTATTTATTTTTAAGACAGTGAGAGACAGAGCATGAACAGGGGAGGGTCAGAGAGAGGGAGACACAGAATCTGAAACAGGCTCCTGGCTCTGAGATGTCAGCACAGAGCCCGACGCAGGGCTCAAACTCACGGACCGCGAGATCACGACCTGAGCCGAAGTCGGCCACTTAACCCACTGAGCCACCCAGGCGCCCCTGTACTTCTATATTTTAGAGACATCAGCAGTTACCACCTTAACCAAGCAACCCAACTCAGCATAATTTAAATCTTTAAAAAAAAATTTTTTTTTAATGTTTATTTTTGAGAGAGAGGGAAAGAGACAGAATGTGAGGGGGTGAGGGGCAGAGAGAGAGGGAGACAGAATCTGAAGCAGGCTCCAGGCTCTGAGCTGTCAGCACAGAGCTCCAGGCAGGGCTCAAACTCTCGAACTTGTGAGATCATGACCTGAGCCGAAGTCGGATGCTTAACCGACTGAGCCACCCAGGCATCCCCAACCCAGCATAATTAATAGTGACACACTCTAACCTGATATGGCTCCAGGGTGATATAATGTGAAGTACGTTATGTCATCTATTAAGTTTTCTTTGCAAAAATGTTTACCCTGAATCTAAAAAGGCTGTAGACCTACTTCCAGTTTACAGGAAATATAGGCTTATAGCACTGTCCAATAGAACTTTTTTTTAAACAGCATTTGTATTTTTTGCTAATGTTTATTTATTTTGAGAGAGAGAGAGAGAGAAAACAAGTGGGGAGTGGGGGAGGGGCAGAGAGAGGAGAAAGGAAATCCCAAGCCAGCTCCACAACCAGTGCAGAGCCCAACACAGGGCTCAATTTCACACCAGGAGATCATGACCTGGGCAGAAATCAAGAGTCGAACACTTAACCGACTGAGCCACCTTGGCACCCCAATAACTTCTTTATATTTTTAAAAACTTTTATTTATTGGGACTGGGGTGGCTCAGTAGTTGGGCGTCTAACTTCAGTTCAGGTCACAATCTCAGTTTGAGTTCGAGCTCCACATTTAAAAAATTAAAAAAAAATTTAAACATTTATTAAGTAATCTATACTCCCAACGTGGGTCTAGTGTTGGTAGCATAGTGGTGAGCATAACTGCCTTCCAACATGGGTCTTGAACTACAACCCAAGATCAAGAGTCCCACTGACTGTTCCACTGACTAAACCAGTCTGGCGCCCCTAGAACTTCCTAGAGTGATAGAAATGTTGTATATTTGTACCATCCAATACAGTAACCACCAACCTACTGAAATTTTATGTCATCCTAATTAACTTAAATTTGAATTTAAATACCTGTATGTGGCTAGTGGCTACTATATCGGACAGAACAGGAAAGGTGCAAGTTAACTACTGCAGGAAATAGACAATGGGACATTCTACAAAGTAACCAGCCTGGATTTTTCAAAAAATTAATTTCTATTTAAAAAGAAAAAAAAAAAAGGTAGGAGAAATGGTCTATTTTTAAAGAGATTAAAGGGGCGCCTGGGTGGTTCAGTTGGTTAATGAGGTTGAGCCCCACATCGGGCTCTGCAGTAAGTGTGGAGCCTGCTTGGGATTTTCTTTCTCCCTCTCTCTGCCCCTCCCCTGCTTGCACTCTCTCTCTGTCTCTTGCTCTCAAAAATAAGTAAACATTAAAAAAAAAAAGAGAGAGAGAGAGAGAGATTAAAGAAACCTAATATCCAAATGTAATGCCTGGGCCTTTATTGGACCCTAGACCAGGAAAACATATTAGGGAAATTTTAATATGACCTGGATAAGAGTTATTACAAAGTTACTAACTTTTAGGTATAATAATTTTATTAGTTATACAGAGGAGTGCCCCTATTTTTAGGAGTTACCTGCTTAAGTATTTAAGAAATGAAATATCACATCTGTAATTTACTATAAAATGGTTCTAGAAAAAAAAAGTCCATATAACCAAATATTTATCAATCTATTTAGAGAGAGAGGGAGGAAGGAGAGAAAAGAAACAGAGAAAATCAAAATGTTAGTAGTTGTTGAATCTAGGTTGTTGAGATTATACTGGTGCCTATTGTATTATTCTTTTATATTTTTCTGTAAGTTTGAAACATTACCCCAAAAATGTTGGGGAAAAGAACACTATAGAACTAAGCAATATTGATTATTTCTGACTTTTTCCTTTAATTGGTTTGTGATTTGTTAATTTTCCTTATAGATAAATGGCAATAAGCACCATTTACAGAAAAAGCTAAAAAAAAAAAAAAGTTAAAATTATGTCAGGATACCTGGGTGGCTCAGTCAGTTGAGCATCCAGCTCTTGATTTTGGTTCAGGTCATGATATCAGGGCTTGTGGGTTCCAGCCCCAGCTCTACATTGACAGTGTAGATTCTCTCTCTCTCTGGCTCTCTGGGATTTTCTCTCCCTCTGTCTGGCCCTCCCCCACTCACACTCTCTCTCTCAAAATAAATAAACTTAAAAAAAAAATAAAATTATGTCAAAGACCTTAGTCTTTCCTATAAAGCAATCCAAGACCATCGTTATTCATTGTAGCAGAATGCCTCGAGACAGCCTCCCTTGAAAGAAGTTTGAGAAGCTAGGTAGGCTCTTCTAAATAAGGGTGGAGGTCTTCTGCTTCTGTTCTCAGTCCCCGACTGTGATGCCAATCAGGGCCCTGCCTTGTTCTAAAATAAGTGGACTGTGAAACTTGGTCCCTCAGGGTGATCTCTTCCCACTCTCTGCTTTCAGAGGAAAAAGTAACCCTCAAACCACACCAGAGGGAACCAGGAATCCAAGGGGCGGGTGTCCCTTCTAGTAACAGAGCTGGGTACCCTGCTGCTTTATCAGGACTGCCCCACTGAGAGCTGTGGTGATGGAATAGATCCTCCCCCCCTCCCCCCCGCCCCCCGCCTTGGCATCGAGCACTCCTCTGGATATTACAGTTCTTCAAGAGCAAGGCCAGATGTAATCCAAGTCTGCTCTCCAAGAATGAAGCCTCTAAGGCTCCAGGTGGGCAGGCTGCACTCCTGCCTCCCACTGCTAGCAGAGGCATTATCCATTGGTCTGTCTGGATCCACTCAGTTCTCCTCCTTACCCACCTTTCATGTTCTTTTTTCATCCTTGCCCAAAGGAAGCATCATCACTTTATTCAGGAGGTAATCAAATATCCTATAGGGCTGACACTGACAAATAGTTGCACATAAAATTATATAAATCTGTTACATTTCCCAGAAGAGACTCAGTCACTGTAAACAAGGAAGAAAAACCAGGACGGTGCCTAAACCACTGCAGGGCTTCAAGCAAGTGTCCTCACACTTCCGGAGTGAAGGTGGGCCTCAGGTGGAGGTGGTCCTTTTGGCAGGAGGGGGAGGCAGCACCGGAGCAGAAGTCCACCTCCAGACCCCCACCAGCCAGCGCTCAGCGGCAGGCCTTGTTAAACTCTTGGAGGGCCCAGCGCTTGTTCTCAGTTGCCTGCTTGAGTTGAGTGTACTCTTTTACCAGCCTGTCAAACTCCTCCCCAAGGACCTCATAGGTGCTTAGGACCTGTCGGGACTTCTCCATGTCCTGCTCTTGTAGGCAGATGGCCCCCTCCAAACGGTCCCTATACACCCGGGGAACAGAAGATACAATATAAGGATCTGGCTCCTCAGAAAGTAGACAAGATTATCCAAAAGATACAAAAATGCTGATTGAAACAGGTACATGCACCCCAATGTTTACAGCAGCGCTATCAACAATAGCCAAAGTATGGAAAGAGCCCAAATGTCCATCGACAGATGAATGGATAAAGAAGATGTGGTGTGTGTGTATATATATATAGTGTAATTTAAAAAAAAATTTTTAATGTTTATTTATTTTTGATAGAACACAAGGGGGGTAGGAGAAGAGAGAGAGGGAGACCCAGAATCTGAAGCAGGCTCCAGGCCCTGAGCTGTCAGCACAGAGCCCGACATGGGGCTCGAGCCCATGGACCAAGGAGATCATGACCTAAGCTGAAGTTGGTCGCCCAACCAACTGAGCCACCCAGGTGCCCCTATATACATTGTAATATTACTCAGCAATCAAAAAGAATGAAATCTTGCCATCTGCAACAAAGTGAATGGAACTAGAGTGTATTATGCTAAGCAAAGTAAGTCAGAGAAAGACAAATGTCATATGATTTCACTCATATGTGCAATTTAAGAAACAAAACAGATGAACATAGGGTAAAAGAAGGAAAAATAAGAAAAACAGAAGGGAGGCAAACCATAAGAGACTCTTAAATATAGAGAACAAACTGAGGGTTGCTGGAGGGGAGGTGGGTGGGGGGATGGGCTAAATGGGGGATGGGCATTAAGGAGGGCACTTACTGGGATGAGCACTGGGTGTTGTATGTAAGTCATGAATCACTGGATTCTACTCCTGAAACCAATACTACACTGTATGTTAACTAACTTGAATATAAATTAATAAATTTTTTTAAAAAAGAAAGAAAGTAGACAAGAATGTGACCACGTTAAAATGAATAGGTATGGAGAACACAGGACCAGCTCTGAGTAACTGCACCCTGTCCTCACGAGTTCTTACCTTTTTCTTTTCAAAATTTTTTTTAATGTTTATTTTATTTTTGAGAGAGAGAGAGAGAGAGAGACAGAGTGTCAGCACGGGAAGGGCAGAGAGAGAGGGAGACAGAATCCGAAGCAGGCTCCAGGCTCTGAGCTGTCAGCACAGAGCCCGACGTGGGGCTCGAACTCAGGAACCATGAGATCATGACCTGAGCGGAAGTCGGATGCTTAACCGACTGAGCCACCCAGGCACCCCGGGAGTTCTTACCTAATGAGACGATGAACTTCCACTTTCTCAGTAGTGTAAGTGTCAGACAAGATCTTTAGCTCCTCCATCCTGACAAAGGGAAGAAAGAAATATCAGCCTGATGATCCCTGACAACAGCAAAGTTATGAACACAACAGAGAGTACCTGCCTATGGTCAAGGTGTGGGCTAAGCAGTGACAGGACAAGCAAGGTCACTCTGAGTTCCTGAGCAATGTATCTCATCTCACAGGAAAGCACCTATTTCAGAAGGCTTTAAAAATAAGACTCAGGAATGGTGAATGCTTATGGGTAATCCAAAGGCTAATACCCACAAGGTGCTAGGCATGGTGGAGAGGAAAGACAGATGAGGGTGACGATTGAAGGGGGTGGTGTGTGAGACAGAGTTCCTTGGACCCACAGGGGTCAAAGCTCACCTCAGCTTAAGGATCATGGCACTGCACTTGATCTCTAGGTACTGAGCATTGATGCGGTCCAGCTCAGACTGAGTCTTAAGCCGGTGCTCTTGAAGAAGCCTCTGCAGCAAGGCTAGGCAGCGGAGAAGCACCTGAGCCCCCGGGAGGCAGGAAGAAGAGGGCAAAATCAAAGTCAGTAGTAAAGAAGGCAGATCAGAAATCCTTGTCTTCCTCAGGGCACCCGGGTGGCTCAGTCGGCTAAGCATCAACGTTGGCTCAGGTCATGATCTCACAGTTCATGAGTTCGAGCCCCACCATCGGGCTCTGTGCTGGCAGCTTGGAGCCTGGAGCCTGCTTTGTATTCTGTCTTTTTCTCTCTCTGCCCCGCCCCTGCTCACGCTTTGTCTCTCTCTCAAAAATAAATAAACATTAGAAAAAAAAATTCTTGGCTTCCCCCAAAGTGCCCCTGGGGCCAGGATAAAAGGGGGAGTGGCTATCCCACTGCCCTGACAAACCTGGGAGTAGGTGGCACTCTTCTTCTCCAGCAGCACCATCTGCTCCTGCTGCTGGCTCTTGGCATCCTGGCATTGCTGCTTCTCACCCACCAGGATCTCTGCCAGTTTCCACACCTTTGCCGCCTTCAAGGTTTCACTGTCTGAATCTGGGCAAAGAAACAGAGGACTAGACAGGAAAACCCTAACTGCTACTGCCCTTCTGAGGCCATTTTTCAGTGCCTTATCCCTTATCTAGCTCTACAAATTCTCTCTTCAGGTTTTCTTCTGACGTCCTGTTAAAATGGCCCACTTCTCATAATTAAGTTCTCTTTCCTCTTACCTTTATTTTATTTTATTTTTTCAACGTTTATTTATTTTTGGGACAGGGAGAGACAGAGCATGAACGGGGGAGGGTCAGAGAGAGAGGGAGACAGAGAATCGGAAACAGGCTCCAGGCTCTGAGCCATCAGCCCAGAGCCTGATGCGGGGCTCGAACTCACGGACCGCAAGATCGTGACCTGGCTGAAGTCGGACGCTTAACCGACTGCGCCACCCAGGCGCCCCTCTTACCTTTATTTTTTTATTTTAAAATTTTATTTATTTAAGTAATCTCTACACCCAACGTGGGGCTTGGCCTCACAACCTAGAGATCAAGAGTCACATGCTCTTCCATCTGAGCCAGCCATGTGCCCCTCGCTCTTACCTTTAATTCCAGATTTGGCCCTTAATTCTTAAGTCAAATAAATAAGATAAGGAGAACACCTATTAGCTTGAACTTTCCTCCCTATTCCATTCCGATTCTCCTAAGAATGAATTCATCCTTCCCTGTAGCAAGAGGACACTCCCACTTGGTTTTCACACAATTCCTTGCTTGTATTCTACCAGCAAGGAAAGAAGCCTCTCCAGTGCTTCCTAGCTTCTGTCGCAAATCTATAATTCAACAAGTTATTCTCAGAAGAGCAGACCAAGAGACTGGAAGGTCAGCTGTGGACAGAACAGAGTGCCAGCACTCACCTGAATTGGGGTCATGGTAGCACAGCAGGGTGAAACATTTCTTCTTGAGCTGCTCCTCTACTTCCAGCGGGAGCCGAGCTCTCATCCACACAAAATCCTACATCCGCAGGAATGAGAAGGGAGATGCAAATAGACCGTTAGAACTAGGAAGATCCAGCCGATGAGCACAGGATGATAAGTATCTCAGTGATAACCAGAGAAAATGCCTCAAGAGACATCAAGGAGATTCACTTTTAGCCTACCAAATTTGCAAAGGATAAAATGATGGTTAAGAGCCCATGTTGATGAAAAAGTGGGGAGCTGGCAATATGCACCAATGTTTAATGTGTATATCCTCTTGACCCATTGATCCCACCTCAAGTACTAATACTCCGGGAAATAATCATACAAAGGCAAACACACCTATGAACTAGCATGTTCCTATCAGTGTGGTTTCTAACAGCAAAATGTAGAAACAACCATATCGATCACTAACGTTGAGCAAACTGTGCTACATTCATACAATGGAATCCTTTTGGGTTTTTTTAGGTTTATTTGTGTAATCCCCCCCCCCCCCCCCCCCGTCCTGGGGCTCAAACTCACCACCTGGAGATCAAGAGTCACATGCTCTACCAACTGAGCCTGCCAGGTGCCCCCACACAATGGAATCCTACCAGTGATTTAAATTGATGATATACTAAGAACACTGAGCACAAACTACGTGCCTGGCACTGTGCTTGGAGTGCTTTAGTAACTATCGGTTTATTTATGTTTATTTATTGACTCGAAAAAAAGTCCAAAATATATTCATTGAAAACGGATTATATTCACTATACAAGCATGGAGGCTATAATACCGTTTATGTCAAGTTATATATAAAACACTGTATTTATTTCTAGATGTAGTATTTCAGCTTTTACTCTCTTCTGTGTAACATATCTCTCTCTTATTTATTACAGTTTGGCCCCCCCATGAAATTAACTCGTATCATTTTTGAAAAAACAATAAAGTGTAACGAGACCACGTTTAAGTATATGGGAGAAATTAAGCCATTTCACTTCTTTGGTCCCCGTATCTGCCCACTCCCAACCTCTGAGGGGGGCATGAGCTCCAGAAGGTCGGCTTTCTCCACCCCTAGCAGCGGAGGCATTTCCTTCTCCCGGCTGGGCCCTAACAGCCCCGTCAGTTCAGTCACGAGTAGCCGCTGTTCAAGGGTCTCGTGAAACTGAAAGAGAATAAAAAACAAAAAGAGGTTACTATAAAATTTCTCCCACTCCACCTCCTCCATCCTCATATACCAGTTCTTCACACATTTTTAAAGTCCTCAAACACGTTATCCCCTTCAGCTGCCAGCGCTTTCTCCTGTCAGTCTTCCTTTTCAAAACCCTAACAACACACCCACCTCTTCCCCCATAACTACGGTCCATTTCTTTCTTTCCTTTTTTTTGGTTAAGGTTTTATTTTTAAGTAATCTCTACACCCAACATGGGGCTCAAACTCACAACCCTGAGATCAAGAGAGGCATGCTCTACCCGCCAAGCCAGCCAGGTGCCCCCTGTCCAGTTCTTTTTTGATAACCATTACTCAAAGCTCCTATTTCCCCTAGATCATACAATCAGGCGAAGCCATAGTTGGCCTAGTCATTCCTGCAGGTGGTAACCAATGCCTCCTGTGTCTCTCCTGCTTCACCTTTTTGTCCTCAGAAGTTAAATTTGTGTCTTGTGTCTTCACATAGTAGTCCACAAGCAGCTCTTGAATGACTCTCTGTAAAATCTCAGACCTCAACCATGCTGTTTTATGCAGTCGAACTTCCTTCCATGCCTAGAAAACCAAAAAAATCCCAGGTAGGAACTTCTCTGTCTTGGAAGATTTTCCCTTCCTCCTATCATCCCTCCCCCGAGAGCTCTTACCTGAGCCTGCTCCTTTGCCAGGGTGAGGCTTAAGCCACTCTCGTCTACATGTTGTGTGAGACTCAGCAGCAGCTTGCTGAAGTGTGGGTTTTGTAACAGGTCCTTTTCACTCAGGTTACAAGGAGGAAGCTGTTTGCTGCACACTTCGTGGGATGTCCCCATAGAGACAAAAAAAAAGCAAGGATGGTATTATATATAATTGAGAATAACTCTTAGCTTAACACTTTCAAAAAGGTTTTTGGTAGGGGAGTTTTTTAAATCTAATGAAATGTTTATTTATTTTTATTTATTTTAAAAAATGTTAATGTTTATTTATTTTTGAGAGAGAGAGAGACAGAATGCAAGGTATGAGGCAGAGAGAGAGGGAGACACAGAATCCAAAGCAGGCTCCAGCTGTCAATGCAGAGCCCGATACAGGGCTTGAACTCACAGGCCGTGTGATCATGACCTGAGCCGAAGCTGGCCACTTAACTGACTGAGCCACCCAGGCGCCCCTAATGAAATGTTTAAAAAAAAACAAACAAAAAAACCCCACAAATAAACTAGAGGCAACACTCAAAGTAACAAGTATTTATAATATATACAAAGATATTGATCAAGGATTAGGGAATGAGTCTCTAATAAAACTAAGAGATTTGGGGTGCCTGGGTGGCTCAGTCAGTTAAGTGACCGATTTTGGCTCAGGTCATGATCTCACAGTTTGTGAGTTTGAATTCTGCATAGGGCTCTGTGCTGACTGTGCAGAGTCTGCTTGGGATTCTCTCTCTCTCCTCCTCTTTCTCTGCCCCTTCCCTGAGTGCATTCTCTCTCTCTCTCTCTCAAAACAAATAAACTTAAAAAAATAATAATGAGATAATAAAACTAAGAGCTTAGAAAATGGAAGTACAGTTGGAAAATATTACACAAATAGAGTCAGGAATAAGGGACCTCTTAGTAGGGATCACCACAGTACCCCAAATACCTCATTCACACTGAATAACTAGAATTCTTGAGGAAGGGGGAAAAAAAAAAACATGTAAAGTTCCTTTGGATGTGATCTCTAGTCACATAAGCAAGACTGAGAAAAGGTATATTCTTAGGGATAAGTGAAAAACTTAATGGAATTCTTATTGTAAACAGAGTTGAGTAACCCACCTGGATTCAGAGCAGCACATGTATGAGAAAAAGTGCAGGAAACTGGGATCCTCTGGTTATTCCATAGGTTCAAGGGGCTTTCTTTAAAAATTTACATTTATTGGGGCTCCTGGGTGGTTCAGTTGGTTAAGCGACCGACTGCGGCTCCGGTCATGATCTCGCAGTTTGTGAGTTCGAGCCCCGTGTCGGGCTCTGTGCTGACAGCTCAGAGCCTAGAGCCTGCTTCAGATTCTGTGTCTCCCCCTCTCTCTAACCCTCCCCATGCTCTGTGTCTCTCCATCTCTCAATAATAAATAAACGTTAAAAAAATTAAAAATGTATGTTTATTTAGTTTTTGAAAGAGACAGAGCACAAGTGGCAGAGGGGCAGAGAGAGAGGGAGACACAGAATCCGAAGCAGGCTCCAGGCTCTGAGCGGTCAGCACAGAGCTCAACGTGGGGCTCGGGCTCACAGACCACAAGATCATGCCTGAGCTGAAGTCAGACGCTCAACCGACTGAGCCACCCAGGCACCCCATCGGCCTTTCTATCTCTTTTCTCACACGTTTTCTGCTGGGGTCCTCTGTTTTACTCCTACTTACCAAACAATCAAACTTTCATTCTTTAGACCCTCAGAAAGTCCCTTTGAAGAATAAGAAATCTCCTTTTTCTCCCCTCAGGCACTGAAGGATCAACATGGAAATGGTCAAAATGTAGAAGATTCAAGTTCTTGAAGGATTCAAGATATAGAAAGGGTGTGAGATATGGAAAGAATTCAAGATACGAGACGATATGGAAGCATCTGAGATTTTAGAGTACAAGATATGAGAAAATTCAAGATGCAGGTAGGAAGGAAGCCTTCAGAGTTTCTTGGCCAGCCTTACATTCAGGTTATGCCTGCTAACACAGCATCAGAGCAGCATGAGTTTTTAGTCCACTGCAGGAGCAGACACTTGATAGGAGCCAGTGTAATATGTTTTCCAATAAGAGAGTATTTAAGAATCTTTATGTATTCTCTAGTTTCCCCCAGAAACTTAGGCTTTTATGTGAGAAACCATACTGGTGAACTTTATAAATCCTTTTTATTATAGAAAGCAAGAACCTGGATAAGATCTCTCTGGAGAAGTCATCAAACCTCCTTCAAATGGCAGCCCTTACCTTGTTGGAGTATTTCCATTCCTTCTCCAGGTGAGCAGAAATCCCCGGATGCCATCTGATTTTCTTGAAATTCTTATCTGTAGAACTGAGTGAAAGAAAACACAAAGTGAATAAACTGGGTTGCTGCTCCAGAGAAAACTACCATGGGTTCAAGTTTCTGTTGTCTATGAGCTGGGGAGGAACTTCAGGGATGCCTCTTACAGGGAGGGACTATATTGCACATCATGGGTCCCAAGCTCTTGCAAGTTTTATAGACAGACTTCTAAGTGGCAAGACAATTTGCATTCTAAGCACATAAATGTTTCCACTTGTTCCAAGCCTTCTAAAAAGGAACCTTCTTTGGAAAGAAAATTTTCCAATTCACTGAACAGGACGATGCTCCCTCCCCTCACCATTATGTCTAAGTTAAAACGGAGTTGCTACTTGCCAGTGATGAGTGAGTTGGAGGAAGGGAGGGTGGGGAGTCAATGTCTGCTTTTTTTCCCTAGTCAAATAACTCCACTTTCAAATTCCACAATAGTTTCTTGTACTTCTTTAACTTGTCCTTTCATCTAAGACCTGTTGGTAGTTTTTGATCATTAACTTTAGAATCATCCTTCAGGAATGACAAATCATTCCATATTGAACAACCACCATTGGTTTTCACATAGCAGCGTTAGTAAAGAGCACCTGGAGGAAAGAGCATGACAAGAAGACTGACAGGAAGGTCGGCGCCAAAAGAGCAATGCAAAGGTGTAGTTAATACAGCTAAGGCTGGGCTGTGGGCTGTGGGGTGTTTTGCCAGAACATGGAGTACACTGAAAAGGATGACATCAACACAAAGGGGCAGTAAAGGTGGGCACAGTTTGGACTCCAGACAAAATTTTTCCCTTGACCTTATCTTCCATTTTTTTGCTCCACCCTGTCCTCTCTGTAAGGTATTAAACTCCAAAGGGCAGCTGAGCCTCCCAAAGAAGACATTGAAGGTTATTAGGATTTAACATTTGATGTTCACAGAACATTTGGTTTACTCCCTTGTTTTATGAGTAGCATCAAAGTAACTACTCATTTATTATTAAGTTTACTTATTTATTTTGAGAGAGAGAGAGAGAGAGAGAGAGAGAGAGAGAGAGTGATGGAACAAGAGCAGGGAAGGGCAGAGAGAGGAGAGAAGGAATCCCAAGCAGCTCCATGCTGTCACCGCAGAGCCCTTGGTGGGGCAGTGGCTCCATCCCACCACCCACGAGATCATGACCTGAGCCAAGATCAAGAGTTGGATGCTTAATGACTGAGCCACCCAGGCGCCCCTACTACTCATTTATTTTGTAACATGGTCTAGAGAGGAACACAGATGAGGAGTCCAGATGCTAGGACTTCATTTGCAGCTTAGCCGTCGCTGCTGTGTGAAGTTAAGGGAAATGCTTTTTGGTGCCAAACTTTCTTCGCCTGCAAAAGAGATAATAAATCCTGCCTTGGATGAGACATCAAGAATTAATAATACAACTCGTTAACGAAAGCCACTAGTTAAACTCAGTGTTTTAACAATTCTGTTGATCTAAGTTCTGCAGGCAAATTTCGCAGACGGAAATGAGGACCAATCCAAATTTCAAAAAAGTCAGCTGTTCTTCCCTCCCTAGGGGAACTGCCCACTAGGGTTTTCTTAGGGTGCTTTTCTTTACCCTTTTAAAATGTTACAGGGCGTGAACGAAGGCGACAATCAGACTCGATTCTCCACCCTCTGCACTCAGACGTGTTAAAACGCTGCTACAGGGACCCAAGCATTTAAATGTTCTGACTCAGGCGTCTTTTAAATTCTTAGAGCTGTCTTTACACGCTGCACTGAACGTTAAATTGATTTTACAGGTATTTTCACAAGATGTGACCCTTACAGGGCCCGAGATGAATCAAAATGCGGAGAGGGCTCTCCGGCGCCTACTTCCCTTCCGTCTGGGCAGCCAAGGATTCCCAAGGGCGAGGGCGGCCGAGCCGGAGGCCGGGGGCTGGCCGGACTGACCCTCCCAGCACTCCTCCTCCCCGCCGCGCCGCCCTCCGACCCTCAGAGGCAAACCTGCACACCATGGGGCAGCTGAAGCTCCCGAGGCAGTGCGGAGCGGCCTGTGGCGGGATGGCCCGCAGCGTCCACGCCGAAATCCCGCCCGCACCCGGGCTCCGGAACCTCTCACTCGGGTCTGCACTGGGGTTGGGGGAAGCTAGGCCCGGGTGGACTGAGCAGGAACTTCGGGGAAGAGGGGGAAAAGGCCGAAAGTGCACAGCGGCCCCGTGGGAGGGAGGAGGGGCGGGGCCCCGCCTGAAGCGGGAACTGTAGGCCCCGCCCCTCGTCGAGCGCGCGCCCTCAGTCCTCAACCACCTGCGAGCCCGGCTTTTCGGCTTTTGGAGTGCGGGATGTGAAGGCCTCTTTGCCCCTTTTTCTGAGGGCCTCCCCTTTGTTGAGGGCAAATGTAGAGAAAATGGTAATGATTGCTAACATTTATCGAGGGCCTACAATGAGTCAAGAGCTATGTCAATAGGCTTTACTTGCCTTGCGGGTTCCTCATTTAGTTCTTACGTCAGTTCTTAGGGCATCCTACGAGAGAGTCACTATCATACCCATTTTACAGAGGGGAAAACTAAGGCGCCGAGAAGTTAAGTGACTTGTTCATGGTCGCAGCTCACAGAGTCTAAATCGGACCCAATGGCCCTCTGAACCTTACACCTGCCGCCCACACTAAGCCTGCCAGTCTCTTCACTCTGGCGCTGCCCCCTGGGTCAGCTTCCAATCTAATTTCCTCCCAGGCTCCTCTAACTTCATTATCTCTCATCCTTCATTCACCTCGCTCTCTCAGGCTAGCTCGCTCCCTCTCCCCCCTCCCTCCCTTTCACCTTCTCTCCTTCTTTTTTAAACTACAGGGACTTGTATAGTTTGCTTAATAATAAGTCTGGAGCTGGAGATCCCAAGGCTTCTTAGTAACTCTGTGGTCATGTTTTTTTGCATTTTCCTTATGGTTACAGGGTAGCTGCAGAAATCCAAGAAGTACATCCAATTCAACAGCATCCCAAGCAGGCAGGAAGGGGAGGAGCCTTCTTCCTGCAACAGTCAGGGAAGAAAATCTTTCCCAAAGTACACAGCGGACTTTCCCATATGTCTCATTGACCAGACTGGGTCACGGGCCCATCTCTAGACCAATGAGCTAGATATCTTCCATTTGCCCCCCCAGATAACCAGTAAGGACTGCCTGTAAATACTTCAGGGTTTCCATATGCCCTACTTTCAGCCAATGAGGGGTCCCAGCAGGAGGCTGGATGGGAGGGAGGGGATGACTGACTTTCTCACTGGGCTTGACCTGAGGCTGCCTACAGACTTTAACCCAAGATCATTACTTCTGTCAAGGGGGTTCCCCTACCTCTCTCTGTCTTAAACACCACCCACTCCCACCCTCTTTTCAAAGTTGACTGGAATGTAATCATTAAGTGAATTATTTCTAAAATAATATTTGATGCTAAGTAAATTACACCAAGTTTCTCAAATCTCTTGCATCAGAGAAGCTGGTAGTCTGGGGTGGTGGGGCAGGAATCTTGGTTAGGTGTGCAGGGTGGTAGAGAGTTTCATATTTTCCTTTAGTACCAACCAGAGAGTTCTACTGGCAATACATAGAGGAATAGTGTGATCCAGTGCAGAAATTTTATATCCCTGGTCATCTTGTCAGCTGCCACCTTTCGTGCTTAATATTAAAGTGCTGTCATTTTCTACGGCTTTTAAAAATCATTTATGCTTCCTCAGCTCTGTGGTGCAGCATCATTAAATATCAGGCATAATGTCCCTAACAAACGACACTTGGAACAAAATAGCAAGCATGCTTTGGTGACTCAGAGCTGATCAGAAATCTACTGAAATTTCATGTCTCGTATTTGTCAAGTTTTATAATCTGGTACTACAAAGCTTTGGCTAAACAGCTCTAAAGGACTTGGGGAATGCAAAGGTGAAGGGTGAAGAGGCCTGTCTTCAGATAGCGTAGAGGGGAACGAGGGGGAGAGCCATGGGAAACCTTGAATTGGCTCAAACCTTCATATGTAATTATCTGTTCCAGCTCTCTCTCTCTCTCTCTGTCTGTGACCTTGGGCTTCAGGTTCCTTATTTGTCACAAGGAGGAAATAACATATTTCTAGCTCCTCCAATCTTGTAGTGTTGATGTAATGATCAAATGAGATAATGGCTGAAAAGTGCTTTGGAAAGACTATCAAAGTGTCTTTGATAGTCAATTTTAAAATTGACACTTATTGAGCACATATTAAGTGTCTTGAGAGAGACACATAGATAAATATGGCCCAGTCCCTGCCCTGAAATTCATAATCTAGTTGAGAAGATAAGACATGCACACGAAAAGCAAATAATAAATACTAGAAGCAAATAAATACTAAAAGCAAATTATAAATACTAGAGGGGCACCTAGCTGGCTCAGTCAGTAGAGTATGTGACTCCTGATCTCAGGGTTCTAAGTTTGAGTTGGGTGTAGAGATTACTTAAAAATAAAAAATCTTAGGGTTGCCTGGGTGGCTCAGTCAGCTCAGTGTCCAACTCTTGATTTCGGCTCAGATCATGATCTCAGTTTGTGAGATCGAGCCCCACGTCGGGCTCTGTGCTGATAGCATGGAGCCTGCTTGGGATTCTCTCTCTCCCTCCTTCTCTGCTCATGTGAGTGCACACTCTCTCTCGATGTAAATAAACTTAAAAAAATGTTTAAAGGTTATAAATACTAGAGAAACTTGAAAAAAGGTATAGAACTCTTTCTGCAGGAATGGATAGTAAAGACTATGAAATCAATCTTATCTTAACTGGGCCTAAAAGGAGAGAAAATTCGGATCATTTAGAATGGAGGAATATCCCAGCAAGCATAGGCAGGGACAGGGAGTCCAAGCTGCTTTCTGGGTTCAAGAGGACACTGGCCCAGCTGAAGTGAAGGACTGTATAGGCCAGTTCTACATAAGACTACAACATTTAGCCCATAGACCATCTGGGCAATCAAAACTGCAGCAAAGTACTGAAAAAAGATATTACAATTGCACACTGTCTGATGTCCTTGAGCAAGTAAGATTTGCAAGAGAGTCCCTAGAATTCATTGTCTTTCTCTCTCCCTCTCCCTCCCTCCCTCCTTTTTTACTCCCAAATTAAAACAAACAAACAAACAAACAAACAAACAAAAAACCACTCACACAGGGGCATCTAGCTGGCTCAGTCAGAAGAGCACAGGACTCTCGATCTCAGGGTTGTGAGTGAGTTTGAGCCCCATGTTGAGTGCAGAGATTACTAAATAAATAAATAAATAAATAAATAAGAACTAAAAACAGGGGCTCCTAGGTGGCTCAGTCGATTGAGCATCCAACTCTTGATTTCTGCTCAGGTCATGATCCCAGGGTCATGAGATTGAGTCCTGCGTTGGGCTCCTCCCTGAGTGTGGAGCCTGCTTGAGATTCTCCCTCTGCTCCTCATCCCTGCTCACGTGTGCTCTTTTCTCTCTCTCTGTCTCTCTCAAAAATAAAAATAAAAAACAACAACAACAAAAATACACACAAAAACAGTTTTATTTATGGGGCACTTGGGTGGCTCAGCCAGTTAACCATCCAAGTCTTGGTTTCAGCTCAGGTCATGATCACAGGGTTTTGTGGGTTCGATACCCATGTCAGGCTCCACAATGACAGTGCAGAGCCTGCTTGGGATTCTCTGCCTCCTTCTCTCTCTCTGTCCCTCCTCCACTTGCGCTGTCTCTCTCTCTCTCAAAAATAAATAAACTTTAAAAAAAAGTTTTATTTAGGTATTTTGACATACAATATTTAACATGTACAATTCATTAAGTTTCAACCTTAACTATACATATGTGCTATCACCATAATCAATCAAGAGAGTGAACATATGCATCACCCTCTAAATGTTTACTTGTGCCCCTTTGCAATTCTTTCTGGCCCCTCCCAACCACTGATCTGCTGTCACTATAGATTAGTTTGCACTTTCTAGAATTTTATATAAATGGAATAAAATAAAGATGTACTTTTTGTCTGGCTTCTTTCACTCAGCATAATTTTACAATTCATAAATGTACTACTATCAATAGTCCATTTTTTTAGTCTGTGTCTATTGTTGAGAAGTGGCATG